TATTCTAATTATATTTCTAATTATTATTCTAATTATACCGATCTTCTAATTACATTTGTTGAATTCTTAATATACTTACATAAATCGTTTTATCGATAACAAATGAGCTTCATTTCGTCTCATCGGCGCGTTTATGAATCAATTTCTCCGACTATTCGCGCCAAAGAGGATTGTATACTTTGCGCTGCAAAAAAGGACGTACAAATCAATCGCATTACGTCAATCTTTCTTAAACTCGTTCGTCATTTATACTACTTACAAAGGAACACGCATACGCGCGCATTTATTGCCTCGAGTTTGCAACGTGAATTAAGGGCGACTGTTGCCATGCAAGATATACAGAGTCACACAAGCGGTTTCAAGGGCTCGAAGCGACACGGTTGCGCCTCGAAAATGGCACGCTTTTTGAAACAGAATTCAGATTTACAATCGTAATTCGCATCGCACGATCATTCTTCGAATTTCCGACGATTCCTCGATGACCTCAGCTTCCAAACCAACATTTTGTAAAAGTGGTCATGGATCCGACGATAGCACTTTGATTTCACCGCGAGTATGCATACAGTCAGTCGCGAAAGTCTACATATATCCCCCAAGTATAGAATTACAATAAAAAGTTTATTATATAATTGTCTCGATACGTTAAAACAGATATTACTCGAATGTAACAGGATTTGTTCAGTTTCATCTTTACTAAAAAAAAAAAAAAAAAAAAAAAAACATAAGAGGATTAAAAAGATATAAAATACAATGTTACGAAATAGACGTACGTAGACTTAATATTATATCAATATCTTGCAGCCTCCACCTCTCTGCGTAATCATCGATAATGGCCCGGTATCTCCGTGGCATCGATGAAATCAAAGATTTTGTAATTTCTCGTGTAATTTTATCTCAAGATTTTTCTGAGTTAAATGTTTTAATTTTTGTAATTCATTGCGGAAATACATTAACGCTGATCGCGTTCATATATAAATATAAATATAAGCGCGTTTTCAGTTTCTTTGGTAAATCGGATACACGAAATTCGATAGGCGTACGTAGACTTTCGTGGCTGACTGTATGTGTCGACTGTATGTACGCTGGTCGGCCATGCTCCAGAAATTGTGAAATTTGAATTAGAATTAAGGAATTTCTTAGGAAGATAAACGCGGTTACTTTGACGGACAGATTTCAGAACACGGACGTATTATCTTTTCACGTAACATGTGCACGCGTGTTACCTGTTTCTAGAACTACTCGAGTGAATCATGCAGGTGTACACGGTTGTTTAGAAATCTGATAACAAGCTAGAACACTTTGCCCCTTTGCGAAATATCACTAGATTTTTTGTAAATATTTGCCGAATCTGTCGTAGATCTATAGGAAGTTACCTGAAATTCTAACTCTAAAATATATTGTTATAGTTTGCAATCGCTTATTCGAACGCATGTTCTTTTTGTTGCAGGTATTAGGTCCGATTTCAGGATGTCACGTGAATCCAGCGGTATCGATGGGACTTTTAGTGAGCGGGAATTGCAGCTTTCTAAAGACAATTTGTTACATAGTTTGTCAGTGTTGCGGAGCAATCGCGGGTTCAGGAATTTTAAAGGTAAAATCAACAAAAATTCAGAGAAGAACCATTTCGAATTTTTTATTCAACCGATAACCAATAATTATTACTAATTAGCACTTTTACCGTTGATTGAATTCTCATTACCAGTAATATTATAGTCCACCAAATAATTCTTTGATCTTTATTTTTTAAACCTGTTTTTAAGTTGCACGTGTGTATGTAAATGTAGATACAGTCTGAGAATTGATTTTTTGTCCTGTAATTATCCAACAAAGCTTTTTAGACGCCTGATTTTAATTAAAACGTCGTTTTAATTTAAAGGTCAAGGTTTTATCATTTGTTTGCCGATATTCGTCACATCAAAAAATAGCGACTCGAAAGAAATTACAAGTATGCATTATGCCTGATCCATTCGTGACAGTTAATTCGTATAGACATGCATAGCGGTCAATTTCGATGATTAGCCTTTGTCGGTATATATTTTACAATTCATAGATCTATATCTCACAATCGAACACGATATTTGATTACTTTTCAAAACGTAATATATTAAAATATTAACTATGGGAAAAGAAAGAAATTCATTGACAGATCTTTCAAAATAAATGTACAACAATTTTATCGATATTATACTTTCCCGTGTATTTTTTGCATACTTTTGTTCTTTAAATAATGGCCAACAGTAAATAAGTTTCTTTTTTTAAACTAGGATAAAGCATAATTGTTACGACGTGATTATATCTGCAATACTGTCGCATGAAATTACATAATGCAATGTGATAGCCATTAAGCCCACAATTACAGTTGCTGGACTATATGTAGTTGTCGAAAACCAGAACCCATTGAAAGAACCGCGGCTATAATTATCCAATAAAAACTGTACAATTGAGGAACGAACATAGTTACCTTTTTCGGCTTTGACATAATGTCCCATGCTACAGTACTAATTGACGTGGTTGAAACAGCATCGAATCATTCTTTTAACTGATCGTCGATCGTCATTTTAGTATATCCCATAACGAAACAAAACCCGAGAAAGATCGCGATAAATTGACGAGCTGTTCGCGAAAAATCCACTGCGATTTCTAAAAGCAAACTCGTAATATCCACATTTATGTAGATTTAATATAATAAATCTATATTCGTATTCGAAGTATATTTATAAAATTATTCAAGACGATTGAAATGGTTCGAAGTAACCATTGAAATGGTTGCTGAAGATACCTTAAAAACGATCCATAGATTATAGATTATAAATAGATAGGTTCATAGATAAATAGGACCTCCACTTGCAATAAGTAAAGAATAAACTAAAAAAACAACTTAATTTAATATTTTTTACGTCTAACATTCCTCCATACTGCTCGCATTACTAGTCTAGCGAATATATATGCAATTTCATATTTCTGTGGGGATAATTTAAAAAATAGAAACCAAGTATGAGTATTTTACTCATAAATGCATCAAAATCAAAATCCACAGTCTACAGTCTACGCATTACGCGTGATTAGCCTAAACACTCGCTGCTGTCGCTCATTCTCTTACAACATTTATCCGTATGCCATATACAGTACATGTTATGATATATTCGTAGTATTATAGTATACAGTATATATCGTCCTTCAAAATGAATGTAATTATTTGCAGCTATTGATCCCTGTTGAAGCGGCAGATAAGGGCTTAGGAGCCACAAATTTGGGCTTACTGGTCAACCAAATGCAAGGCATCTTCATGGAAGCGATTGTTACATTCCTGCTACTTCTGGTTATCCATGCAGTAACAGATCCCAAGAGAACCGACACGAAAGGATGGGCGCCTTTGGCGATCGGATTGACCATCACCGTGGCTCACATGGCTGCTGTACCTGTAACAGGAAGTAGCATGAACCCGGCTAGGTCGTTAGGTCCTGCGATCGTCCTTGGTGAATGGGACGATCTGTGGATCTATTGGGTGGGACCGATCCTCGGAGCCTGTATCGCCGGTGCCTTGTACAAATTGGCGTTCAGACATAAAACGATGGACGATGAAGCTTCTTACGACTTCTAACAACAGAATCGAACGTAAATATCGCATACGATGTCGACCCGTTTCCTGTAAACGAAAGAAACATGTCAAAAATCATGTTGATATCTGCTGAATGGAAATTTACTGCATTTGACGTATTAAAAAAAGTTTAAATGGTGCTTCTCGCGAAAAAAAAAAGGAAAAAATGGGAGAAGATATCGTTCGGTTTAATTTATATCCGAAATTGACGATAAGGTATTTTTGCAAAAGAAAACACGACTGATCGAATATTTTAAACTGAGAAAGAAATGGACGTTCTGTTTGTAGTCTGAGTAATCTTTTAACGAGTGTTTAGTACAATTAGATGTTTAGTACACTAAATCCTTGCATTGTTTTAGATACTACTTATAATTGACGAGACAGGGTATATTTATACGTTTCAGTTTTTTGCATTTCGATCGTTGGAGGAAGGATCAAGAAACAAGTCAATTAAAATTCAACGAAATTAAACGATATAAAAGCAAATCATTTTGCAATACAACTGACCGCGTTTGCTGTTAATTTTTTCTTATGTACTTTGCATGCAATGATCTATGAGAGATACACGAAGGAGAAACTTAAACAACATCTTGTTTAGAATAGACTTTGTTATTGTTAATAGTATAATTAATGAAGTATATCTGTTTAATATTTATCATATTTTTAATGACGATAAGAGAAAAGAATTAATACGCTCTAAATGTTCTAGGTACATAATTTGTATTTATCCGATTAATTTATGGAATGTATTTAACTTTAATCGATAATTTTAATAGTAATTTATCAAATTTATTATAGATACATATATGTATCATGTTATGAACGCTATACAATTTCGTTCGATAGATTTTCATCTTATCACAACAAAGATATCCATGTACATGTCGTATCGATATATTTTGTATCCCGTTTAGGTTTTGTACATATTGTACTTGCATTTACTTGTAAGATATCACATATAAATACATGGTTCATATTGCACACTATGCTTGTATAAAATATTTATTTAAACAATTCTTTCATCGGCAGCTTGAACAATTTGTATCTAATAAAATTCCAAACATGCTGTATGCAAGTAGTACAACTCTTAATTAATGGCTCCGCTTCAAACACTAATCTCAACAAGTTCGTATCAAAGGACTCGGTTTGTAAAACAATTTCATTACACGCTAATTACACATGCTCCCATCGAACTTCCTCGTTGTATCGCACACATCTACGGCTCGAAGCAGCAGAAATAGCACGTACCGAAATAGACGAACGTGGTTTTTGGATGCTTGGGTGATGCCAGTAAGTCCCAGCATCGTCGACCGGCAACGTGTCATTCGATCGCAAATTACCAACTGGAGAAGTAATCGAGATCATTTACTCGAATCAAACGGATCATCGAACGAAACGAAAGATTTCTTTAAATCTATAATTGGTAATTAGTTAACGTCTGTCCTCACAAAAACGGTACGGTAAACCATGAAAAGAAGTTGCGGCAAGTGTTACAGTGAACGCGCATGAATCGAACGCTATCTATATACGTACGTGAAACATATTAAAGTATTTTGTGCAACAGAAAATTAATTGGAAGCGTAGAAAAAGATGTTAGGGGAGGACGATAGCGGAGTCAGTGATTACTTCCGGTCAAATTTCCTGGCGCTCCAAAATGCGGTTAGCCCGCAGGATATGAAAAAATTCATAGCTCTGAATGAAAATTCGGAAAGGATCCGTTTCCTATTGCGTTATCCAGTGATTTATAATCTGCCTGTGCGAGTTACCGAAGAGGGAGATTTGCTGAAGAACAGCGAGAAAGCTCTGAAACTTAAGGATATTGGTAACAAGTATTTTGGACGTGGTGAATTTATTAAAGCGCTAGGATCTTACTCGAACGCGGTTCTGCTAGCACCTAGGAAAGGTAATCGATGATCGCTGCTATTCATTTAATGCTGTTGAAACGTTAACATTCTACGCGTTATTTGTTTCGGTAAAATTGATCGTTTCACAATCTCTACGTAAGCTATTCTGTCAACGCGCCCAGTTCATCGCACACCGATTTTATAACAATGTTAGAATTATGTCGATGCGTTTTAAATTTAACGTAACTTGATCTTCGCGATACCAGACAGCGAAAGTCTCGAATCTTTGGTATAATCGTAAATTCGACGTGAACTTTTACTTTGCTTTAAAAACTACGATCGAATCAATTGCGAATTGTTCCTCAGACTTAGGCGTTATATTGGCGAATCGTTCAGCAACGCTTTACCACCTAGAAGAGTATAGTTACGGTCTAACAGACGCGGAAGAAGCTCTACGCGTCGGATATCCGCATGAGTTACATTATAAAATTCAAGAAAGACGCGCTAGATGTTTGCTCGGATTAAAAAGACACGACGAGGCTGTGCTAGCATTCAGGAACGCTTTGCAAGCATTAGACACTGCGAAACTATCATTGGACAAGAAACAGAAGCTCGAGGCAGACATTAGACTTATGCTTGCTGTGATAGACAAAGGTAATCGGCTGGCACAGAAGACGTCGAAAATTCCTCAGAAAGAAGAAATTAGGAAGCCTAAAAAGACGACTCTAAAGATCGAGGACTGCAATCCTCTCTATCCTTCTTGCAGCAAAGCGGTTGAAATTAAGGATGAAGGTGGTAACATAGGTAGACACGCCGTTGCTACTAAAGACATCGAACCTGGGGAAACGCTAGTGATAGAGAAGCCACATTGTGCAGTCTTGTTGGCCGAATACAGGTGCGGTTAATTGAATAAAAACCTCGAAAAGAGTCCAAGCACGTTTAGCGCGTTTCGAGAAACACTGGAAAAACTAACGCTTTTTAAATTTCATAAGTTTCAAACACCTAACGTGCTGCTTGTATTCAACGTTGATTTGCCTTCTGACCATACTTCTGCAAGCTGTGTGTATTAAAACGGTCGATAGGTATCGTAGAACAATGCTTAACCGTTAATTCAACTTTGACCAAAATGTGCCACAGACCCTTATTCGAGATTTCCATTCAATTGTCAAATGACTTGTTCAGAAACAGTGCTGGAAATTATACTTGATTAATATTAAGACTTATATAATTTCATTGCAGACTCAGCAATTGTCATCATTGTTTCGCGAAAATATTCGTACCGATACCAACTAGCTGTGACACGTGCAACTTCGTGGCTTACTGTAGTATTCCCTGCAGAAACAAGGATGCCGAGATTCATAAAAACGAATGCATGATACTACCCAGTTTATGGTTCTCGGAAACTTCTGTAAACTGTTTCTTAGCTTTAAAGGCAATCGTTCAGAAACCCTTCGAAGAATTATTGGCGCTCAAGGATAAGCTTAAAGCTACGAAGGGGAGATTCGAGACTTCGACACAGCGACCTCGTCGACACGATGACTTCGAAGCTATCTATGGATTAAGTAATCGATTAATCAATTATTATCCCATCAATTTTGATGGAATAAATCTAATATCATGATGTTTTTAATATATTAAATACATTTACTAGTAGATATTCATTCAGAGAAAAATATATGCACAGTATTCAATTATGTTTCTCTTCGTACAGTAACTCACGAGGAAGAAAGAACGTCGGAAGATCTTTTTCATAGAACTTATATAGCTACTTGGCTATTGAGACTTTTAAAACGAAACCCTTACTTTCCCGAATGGGTTAAAACGCCAGATTCAGCGGAAGCGATACCCTCCGATGGTGAATTATACATAGGCAGTTTGATTTTACATAATTTAATGTTAATACAATTTAACGCTCATGAGGTAAGTCGTGTTATTTCTCTTTTTCCTTTTTTTTCAACAAAACTAGTATCAAGTATAGAATCGGAGGTTTTATATATTTGTGCGTTGTTTGCATTTATACGTTTACATTTCATTCTCAGATATCGGAATTAGCTGTACCAAAGGGTAGCAATATTTTAGCAAAAGCTAAAAGCAAATTTATCGGTGGGGGTGTTTACTCGACAGTTTCACTATTTAATCATTCGTGCAATCCTGGTATCATCAGGTAAATAGAAACCTATGATTGCGAACTGTAATATAAATGAAATTCATAATAACAATCGTCCATAATTTAATTACTAGGATAGTAATTATGAAATAGTAAATCGTAAATAATCATCACTGGCTACATAGGTATTTTATCGGTACCACTATGGTTGTACGAGCAATTCGCACTATTCCAGCAGGAGAGGAAATCTCCGAAAACTACGGCCCAATTTTTACAACTACTCCCGAAGCTGAACGGAAACGGAAACTAAGAGTACAATACTGGTTTGATTGCAACTGCGAAGCATGTACAGCACATTGGCCTACTTTGGAAGAAATCGATCCAACGATTCTAAGGTATTCTTTATTTTGATACGATTATTTCAAATCTTTAATCTTTTGTGGCTCGAAATTAAAGGCATGAAATATTTCAATCCTTTTTCAGATTCAAGTGCGAGACTGGTAAAGAATGCGGAAACGTTCTACCTATAAAAGCAGACACAAACGAGTTCATGATCAGATGTTCCAAATGTGGCAAAAATACTAATATTTTCAAAGGTTTAAAAGCCTTGCAAGACACAGATGCCATTTTTCGAACTGCTTCCAGAAATCTCGAGGAAGGGAAGCACCAAGAAGCGTTAAAATCTTATTTAGAAATTTTAAAACTTCTAGATGAAACCCTTGCTTTACCCATAAGAGACTATCATCTTTGTCAACAAGGTGTTCGACTATGCATGCTTCCTTTAGGAAACGTTTCTTATATTTAAGAATTCAGCGTCAATGTAACCAAGTATAATAATTTCAATGTATATATGATAATTTCTTTTTTAACTGAATATTTAATGGGATAAGAAATATGAAATATACGACTCCGATGTGCTATTACTTCGATACTTTATTATTTTCTTTTAATGAACATCAAACTGCTATTTGCAATAGGAAAGCCAAAATAATTATACCATACATTTTTATTTTAAAGTCTTAAATTCGTAAGAGTACAAAATAATTAATACAACGTAAAACGGCCGTTCCTTCTATTTCTTCATGAACTTCTTCACATAAAAATGTCTCACTGTTATGCTTATCGTTATAATTGTTCTTAATTGCAACCGAATTCTTTTTGTCTCACCCGTACACTTTGAAGCAATGAGTACGTTCCGTAAGAGATTTATCGTACTCGATAGCTTACATCACAAATAATTTTGTTGCGTGTAAAGTACCTTTCTATACATAATGTGTATGCATCGGTGAAAATGTATCGTGCATGTGAAACCAACTACACACGCCTGAGTATATGTGTCTAAGTTTTACGCACATAAGCAAGGTTTTATGCGTGTACAAAGTGTTAACAACTTAAATGCTAAACATTATGTACGTGTATTATTCCATATCTCTTATGAATGTCTTTTAATCGTATTATCATTGCTTCGACAGAATATGTACGCGTGGTAACGATTATCTTTTTTATGTACATATAAAATCGGTTTTCTTTATCTTCCATCCGGCACATTTAGTCGATCCGTTCTCTCAAACACTTTTAGCACCTAACTGTAAGTAAATAGAAAAAACATTTAGAAAATATACACCTGATCCTCGATGTAAATTCACTACATCGCTTTTTTGCACTGGAAACCGGGAATTTCATTGTAAAGAGAATAGAACAGGCGAATTCTTGCAACACGATTGTTTCAGAATGCTTACTATCGTATATTAACTCTGAAGACGAAAACTAAAACTTTGTTTAGTTAAGAAGTACTGGGAATGCTATAAATTCATGAGTTTCTTTCATCTTTCTTCCACGTTGAACAGTAGAAAAACACATACGATGACAATTTTCTTTATGTTGCAAGTGCAAGATTCGATCTCTGCTTCTTTTCTACACATATATTTTTTCTGGTTCGTTTTTTTAATTTGTGGTAATATTAGTACCGTCTGTCACGGGAATCCGAACGCGAACGGCGGTCTCGGCTACGGCTACGGCTCAATGATCTCCTGCGAGGGCTACGGGATCTTGACCTAAAATATTAAAAAAGTATTTTATACCACTTTTATTAAAGTTTGGAAAACAATTTATTAATACACGGCGTTCTATTTTGTCTCAAGTTTTATGTCATTATCATTAAGATGGTATTATCTTTGTGAGATATATGCCACCTAAGATCGCATCTAAATCACGCTCTATATTCCTCCAAAATATTATAATATAAAATTAAACGTAGCTCTATTAGGTGATGTATGAGACGAAACAGAACATCGTGCGTTGAACACATAGGTACGAAAATGATCGCAAGGCAACCGTAATAGAATTAGGACTGGCTAATTCCTATTTGCCTAAGGGGTGATAAAACTAGTTAGACACAATAATTAATACAAAATGACATCTCACCAATAATGAGAAACCAATAAACGAAAGTAGGATTAATTTAGTTAAAATAAATTTTTACAACTGTTACAGATATATATGTAAATATATATCTTTATAAATACATATTATGTAACAGGCGGCAGTTCCCTGGTCCAATGTGTACCAACATATCACTAAAATAATTAAAAAGAAATATTAACCAGTGTCTTCTATTCCGTTTGCGAAAAATCTGTTGAATAAACATAATTAATTAATAGAAACTGTCATTGGACTGCAGAGAACATGACACCGTCAATTAGACAAAAAAAAGAAAAAAAAAGATAAAAAATCTTTGAAAATCGGTGAAATACCAGACAACTGTGAACATGTAGTGGTGGTTGGTGGTGGTGGTACTTGGTTGGGTGGTGGTGGGATGGTGTGTAGGTGGTGATCATTTTGCTTTGCTCAGTCGAAGAGAAGTGGCGGTCGCGTTGTCGGCTAAGTTTAACGTGATGGTTGACGAGTAGTAGTAGTAGCAGTAGTAGTAGTAGTAGTAGAAGTTGGGACGGACGGACGGACTGACGCGCCGAGATTTTGACAGAAGTATTCGTTCATATCGCGTCGGCTGTTCGATGGATTCACGATGCTCCTAGCCGCTAGAGGTTGAGGTAGCCCGAAGAAGTCTTTTTGAAGGGGAACAGACGGACTGACGGACAGCATCGGACTGTCAACTGACGGACGACTTGGCTCCTACCGGTGACTGGTGGTGACTGATGGTGACTGGTTGGGAAGTTAGTGGGCAGGCAGGCTTTTTTTTTGTTCAGTTTTGATTGCTAGACTTTTTTTCACGGTGGCTGTAGTAGTAGTAGTAGCAGTAGTAGTAGTAGTGGCGGGGAGACGAGCAGAGCTAGGAGCTGACGCTGGTAGAATCTGCAAACGTCAGTTTTAGCAATATAACCATCAAAGTTATCATACTCCTGGCCACTATTGGTATACACGACTTTTTTCCTTAATCCAAATTCACAAAATTGCACATGTATCACTCGTCAGTGATATTTTCGTTACGATTATCCTAGACTGCCCACTCTAATGCGTACAAAAGACTCTACTTGCAACTGATCTGATTAAATTTATATGATGGATGTATCAAATTATCCTTTATATACTTATCGCAACGCATGGTGCAGTATGCTAAGAAACCGTATTTTAAAAAAATAATAAAATTGGACTTTATACAACTAATACACCAAAAGTAATAAGAACAATTAAAAACTGCGTCAATGCGTGTACGATAAATAAATGTGATCAAAATACGAAGTGCATGAGATATTTGCACATTAGTGAATTTTAATATCAAAATCTTTTACTATATAACGAACTATTTAATTAAATTGGATGTGTAACTTCTACGTAACTTGGTACCTGAATACATAACAAAATTTTTCAAATAAAATGATCAACTGCAATTGCTTATTACACAATTTCTATGCATTGTTAAAATCATAATTTCAAATACCAAATAACTTAATTCCAAGCATTTACAAAATAAAATTCATAAGATACTATGATAAGACCACAATAAGCACTAGAAACAAATTGTTTTAAACTGGTAAAATTAACACCAGACACCGCTATGATTTACTTTTATCTGCCACCGGTGTTTCTCTTTATGCACCAAACTAGCATCGTAGTTGCCAACTAATTCTGGACCTCAAATTTTCGATTGTCTTTTTTCAGTTCTCTAAGTTATTTCTTCGTCCTCAGCCTATCTATTCTTTTAGTCCTGTCCTCTCCAACTTATGCCAATCAATTAACAATATTTGACCGCCGATCGTGACAATTGCGCAATTCTCAGTGTTCAATACATTTCGATCAGAATTATTCTATGTTTTATATGATATATTGTGATTCTGCGTGCAAAATTGCGATGATCACAATACAAGCGGTACTTGTAAATACCTACTTGCAATTTGTAGATTGGCTGTTCTTGGTAAGGCCCTGAAAATTTGATAAAATTATGAAACATAAGGGGATTACCTAGAATATCGGCTTATCGGCGATCTCCGTGGGCTTCTTGACCAGGACCTAAAAAAAATTAAGAAAAACTGTTGTATGTTTCAGACTGCTCATATGTTGCCAATCGCCATGTTTCGCTTTGATTTCTTTCTTTTGTCTACTCGCACCTGAAAATTGTGGTTAACAGGGCTAGGAAAATCTTACCTCGGATAACGACCCAGTGATCTCCTTCGAGGACTGCAAGATCTGGACCTATAAGTTTGTCAAAAAGATATATGGTATGTGAATCCTGTTGTTCGCTAAGCATATTCACAAGGAGATTACAATGGGAAAGAAATGAGCTATATATGAGATCGCTACCTCTGCCATAACTAAAAATTTACCCTAGCATCTCCCGTTTAGGTTTCCCATGCAGTGTATTTGGTTGCTCTTCGGCTAACCCTCGTAAATTTTCACATTTTATATAAAAATATTTTATGATGCTCAAAGAAACTTTTTATTCAATTATTATTTCAATTTATCAAATCTTTAATTTGCAATTTTCATAAGAGTACTAGCCAGAAGAGCGATAATATCAAATAGTATATAATATATTCTATCTGCATTCCTATATAAAATAAAAAAAAAAAACAATTTACATCCTGTGCATAAAAAAATTCACCGAAACCCGTGCATCATTTCTTGACATTCTTATTTGATAACTGCACTGTAATACCTACTTGGTGAGACACTTAGTCATCTGCAGTAGCTCAAATGTTGCTGTAAAACATGGATATTCAATATTTTAAGATTTCTTACCTGGAATATCTTGGACCTGATCTCCTTCCACCTCCACGTCTACTTCTTCCTGAAGACATTTCTACTCTCACTCTGGTCCCACAACAGCGTCTGCAAAATAATAAAAAATACAAAACGATTTTTATTATTAAAATTCATAAAATTGTTATTACATATTAATTATATATACATAACATGTATATATACAATATACAACAACATATAGCAATATGTATATATACAATAATTACTACATAACACTTACGTTCCATCTAACCCTCTAACTGCATCTTCTGCATCTCGTGGGTCTTCAAATTCCACAAATGCAAAACCAGGTGGTTTTCTTGCAACCCACACATTTCTGAGTGGACCATATTTACTGAATGCACTTTCAATTTCATGTTTACTAGCACTGTTTCCTAAATTACCAACATAAACTTTACATGAAGGATCCCATTCACGATAACGTGACATTGCGTCTATAAAGAACAAATTTTCTTTTATTAATAACAAAATAAATTTCAAATTATCAACATAAGTTTTGATTAATGAATCAATAGTTTAAGTACGTGTGTTTTGAAAATTGATGTATTTCATATAAATAGGTAGTGTCCTTGATGGACCTATTATCGAATTCAATAGCCCATGGCCTACGGCCTATGAGAATAAATCGACACCCACTGTCAGTTTACCTATACTAAAAAAATATCGACCGGTGACGAAAATAATACTGCTGTATACAATATTTACAGCTAAAAAGCGGTATGTATTTTGCATGTGTCTGCTTCATAATCAAGTTTATCTTATATAATAACCTCAATAATCTACAATCGAATCAGTCACAAAACTTAGTCGATTATACTGAAAAGGGAAAGTCGGCATACCGCCATGTTGTGCTCTCAATTTACTGCAGTAACGAGGACTAATTATTTCGGAATTTATTCAGGAATGTAGATCACGTATGTTATTTGAAATATTATTGCTATATATAAATATTATTTTGTTTTTTGGTTTTATTCGCATAAATGTATACATATTACAAAAGCATTTTAGGATTTGTCGGAATAAAAACTGACGCCATGGAATTTTTGAAGCAATTTTCTTATTTGCGCATAATATTTTCAAAACAAAGTACAAATAAACAAGTGTGTATCTATTTTCGATAAAATATTATATTTTACTTACTTGAATGTATATGTTGGTTCGGTGGATTTCGTAGTCTCGTAACACACAACCCTTCGTTCGTACTGCACAAGTAGAAATGTCCACAAAATGGTGGCGTATGTAGCGTTAATCTTCTTCCGTGGCCTCCTTTCTAAGATGGCATTGGTGTATATTGCTTTCTACTTCCTAGTCAAATGAAAGTTTATTTCTACTTTAGCATCACGTATTAATATTCAATGATTATGTTTTTTAAATGTTTACTATCCTGTACTTAAAAATATTAATTTGTTTGAGCAATATTTAGATTGTTAATACAAATCTAAAATATTTATTCTTATTTTAATTATAGATTACTTGTAAATATTATGCAATAAAATTAATACATTAAACAATAACGTACATTTATAACCAGAGAAAGCTTTTAATTATTTATCTAAAAAAAAACGATAGTAATATATAATTTTTCATGAAAATCAATAAATACTCTGTATTGATTCACTTCATATAAACAATAGAATATCTATGTACTCATATAATGTGCATGTTCTTCTCGTATCATACGTATATATGTTACTAAACAATAATTAAATTTATGGTATAGGTCACACGTAAAAATAAGAATATAAGAATACATAAGAAAAATAAGAATTATAAGAATAATAATTTAATTATAGAAAATATAACAATTTTTATTTCTCGTATAGTTTAAATTATAAAAAATTTCCTTATATATACAATTCTACAGAAAGACTTACACAAATATAATTTGAAATTCAATTCTGGTTTATAATTTTTATATTAATGAACAAATCTTTTGTAGTCAATTTTTTCAAGTTGTACCAAGGGTTTCAATTGTTCTGCAAAAATTCTCATATCTTCAGCTATTGCATCTTGGCCACTAGGTGCTAAAACACTCAATTCCACTAGATAACTTTGAGATATTGCTTCCATACTTTCAGGAATTTTTCCTTGTTGTCCCATCTTAAATATTTTGGAAACTGTAACCTTCATTCTACCCTTACGAAACATATAACCACGTGCAATATATTCAAAATCTAGCCTACATCCAAGTTCTGTTAAAAAGTCAACAACAGTATTACTAGTTGCTATATCTAAGCTACTTCTAACGATTGTAGGTCTTGATTTGTCACCCAATTCAGGTTGACCGATATAACGTAATTGCCATGGCATATCTTGATAATCTAATGCTCTTCTTACACGTAAAAGTAATGGTTGTTCAGCTCCTCTAAAATATAAAGCATTAAGTAGTGATGTAGATTCATAAATAAAATAATATTTGTAAAATTATTTTATATACCTGATGCTAAAACACATTTCATGATCATTAAAGGTTTCTGGCCCAGTATCTACATTATCACATAAACCACGTAATCTATGAAGCAATACTTCCACAGCACTGTCTAACACAGATCCTTGCAATAAATATTCTTGATTTGGAATAATATTAGATCTGATTGCAGCTGTTAAATTATCCATTGCTGTACTTATTGGTGCACTCATTTTTAGGGTTAGAAACTTTTCTTGAAAATAAATCTCTCCTCTTTGCAGAATAGAAAAGTGTTTGACAGATGTTCACTTTTATAGATTAATATAAAATTTAATGCTTATTACTCTTATTAGTAATAATTATCAATATATAATCTGGTACATGTAATGTAATTGGAAATATTATTCCATGTAACAGCTGATCATGAATTTTCAATTCATAAACAGCTAACTTCACATAGAATTATGGCGGTATAGAAATAGAAAAAAACAGTTTTATTTCATAGAAATACATATATGCTGTTATATGTATGTTAATAATCTGTATTTAACTCTTTTACGTTCTTCCATTTCTATCATTATTTTACTAATAAAACTCATCGTTTTGAAATATTTGTAATAATCTAAATTTCTCCGTCATTAATTTAATATTACATATATGTGTATATATTTTTGTACACAAATATGTATCAAAAGGCTAAGAACAAGAAATGTAAATTACTCAAATTTTCATTAAGAACAGTTTCTTCTATAATAATTATGTCGAAAAAATGCGTCCATAATTTATAAACAGATGTATTGAAGTAAAATTATAAAAATACATAAAAATTATTAAACATAAAATATAATATGAAATACTGATAACTATAGTGTTATTACAATTAGAAGAAATTAGGTTACTAATGTATTTAAAAAACTAGTTATACCGTTTTCTTAAAACAAACAATATGTCTACATATTTAAATAGCCGGCTACTACAGTTAGCATGTTACGCAGAAGCACATGCCACGTTTGTTGATGGGTAGATAAAGCTGAGCACGCAAGCGCAAAACGGAATTTACAACATGGCGGAGCGTAGGAAAAGCAAGAAGCGCAAGGATGTAAGCATCACATATGGCTGCAATTATTACAATATTATTTAACATTACATATAAATTGTGATGTTTATTTGGTGACTGAAAGTATAGTATTTCGTTTGATGTTAAATTCATTTTATTTTATCAGTTCAAACCACGTGACAATATGGATAAGTGTTGTAACATAATCCAACGGATGACGTAGCAAACAAATCATTTTCATTCTATTCAAAATTCGTGAATTAACTTTAATTATATGATTCAATTGTTCCTTAATAAACTACTTTATTACGTTCTTCGTGGAAACTTATTATTTACGTTATGGGGATTCTTTACATAGATGTTCGAAAATCGTTTTAATTGTATTCCGGTATATGCGAGTTACCATCTGTACCGTCTAAACTTTGACTGTCCTGTTTTTTGTACGGCATAAAAAATTACAATTGAATTCAATGTTTTGCTTAAAAAAAATAGGACATTTTTAATTTATAATAATGAAATCTATATCTAGTTCTATAATTTATATGTATTTAATGAAATATTTACAAAGTAACATGGAAATGTAAAAAATTAAGCCTTAATCTTCTGTAGCAAGAAACATCAAGCGTAGATAATGAAGTTGCCCCTGTAAAACCATCTAAGGAAGAATATGCAGTGGCTAAATGGATCCGTAACAATGTACCATCGAAAAAAACAAAATTTGATAGAAATCACAATGTTGAATATTTTACTGGCACTCGTGCAGTTGATGCTTTATTGGAAAATTCACCATGGAGTAAAACTAAATTTGAGACACGTGAACAGGTTACAGAATTTCTAGATTTGATGTTAAGACATAAATTCTTTCATCGAGCAAAAAAGGTAGTAATCTCTGAAGAAGAACTATATAAAATACGTGGAATAAAGAAAAAGGTAAAGGAAAATAAAAAAGAAAAAAGATCTACTGAAAAAGAAAAGGAAGAGGCTAAAGAAAATAAAGATGCAACAGGTGAAAAAGATAATGAAAATAAAACTGAAGAAAAGAAGAAAAAGCCAAAGGTAAATTTTAGGCGAAAGTGACAGTTTATTTATTTAGTAATATGTTCAATTTTTTTATAGACAAGTTATTATTAATTACCCTTTCAGTGCTATGAATTCATATATGAGTTTAAGAAATATAATCAATCTATATGTATGTACTTGTATAAAACTACAATATGCATCATGAATTTGTGTATATATCTTATTTTAAAGTCATATTTGCTATTACTTACATAGGTTTCCTTATTTCTTATTTCAATGGTATTACTTGCTTTATCTTATGATATTTTATTTCACCGAGTATTTTATAGCATAGTATCAAAGTAATTTCAAGTACATTCTTCAAAAGATAAATACTTGATTCAATCAAAATGCTATCAGATTAAATGTTTAATGAACAGTGCATATACATTATCAAGAATTCTAGTGCTGAAAGGAATAAATGTTAAAAGATACAGAAAAGTAAGTAATATAAAAAATTATTAATTAATGTAGGTACGTTTGGAAATGCATATGGAACAATATTTTGTTGACTGCAACGATGCATATGTCTGGATATATGAAACAGTTCCTATATACTACTGGTTCTTCGGAGGCCTTGTAGTTTTAGGTGCAGTTGGTGTTTGTCTCTTCCCATTGTGGCCATTATCAATCCGTCACGGTGTATATTACATAAGTGTTGCAGCTGCTGGATTCCTTGTATTCATTTTGGCATTAGCATTTATTAGATTAATTGTATTTTGCCTTTTATGGGTTCCAACACTTGGCAAATGCCATCTTTGGCTTTTGCCTAATTTAACTGCAGATGTTGGATTCTTTGCTTCATTCTGGCCACTTTATCAAGTATGTATCAGCTTTTAATTTTATATTATCTAACAAATGCAATGAATGCATGTATAAATGTATTTTCAGTATGAATATTACGACTCCACATCTGAAAGTGACAAAAAAGTTAGTAAAAAAAAGAAAAAGAAAGAAAAAGACTCTGATACTGAAGAGACACCATCAACACAATTGTAAGTAGAAATTTATTATAATATAAAAATATCAGACTTACAAAGTTTTTATTATTATGAATATGTTGTATTTATTTTACATTTCCTTTATAGAGAGAAAAAATCTAGTATTAAAGAATTATCTAAAGAACATACTCAAATTGAAGAAATTTTATCTAGCGAAGAAAACAAGTTTCCTCCATCTGAATTAGGAGAAGGAGAAGAGGGTAGTGAAGGTTCCGAAAGTGAAAAATCTAACACAGGTCGAGATTTTGTGATGATCTAAAATAGGAATTGGCAATAAATAGCTTTTATTTATCTTTAATAATTATCACAATAATCAATAATTGAATCTTGTCAATTTTGACTAAATCGCATACGGGTTCACACATAAGGATTTATGTATGATTATTAACTTTTGAAGATATGTACGATTCTTTTTGTAAAAAAAATCTAATTTTGAATATCGAAGCAAAAATGAAGATACAGTACATATATTAATAGAAATACGGTATACAAATTTAGCAAACTCAATCCATTTATTGCTTATACTAATACGTATCTTTGCATTGCATTTAAAATATTACAGCCAATTGAACAAGGAAATCGCATCTGTATTTTACAGAAAGAAAATTTTTGTAAGAATATCAATCTTGAAATTTCAGTTAAATATGTATTTTTATTTTAATCATTATTAATAATCATTTATTTAAGTGTGTAAATTTCACTTATAAGAATTTTTACTAAAACGTACAATTATGTTGATGTGGGCATCCAAGGTTTTCCTGAACCGATTGGAAATCGTTTTTGATATTTTATATCGCAAAGCAATAATAGTGAATTTTAAATTTCAGTAATACGATTTTCTCAGGTTTCAAAACTGTACAGTGCTTGATAAATAGAATCTCCAAGAACAAGACTATAAATTTATTTTAATCAATTGTTCACTCTGCCAGCGAGTTTGTTCTTGGCAGAGCCACGACCTGATCTTTCACAGATTTCGTACAACAAATTGTAATTTGTATTTTTATGTAAAAATTCCAATGATAATAATTATTCCTATTATTACTGTAACGATTATTATATTATTATTACAAAATAATCATCTTGATCATTGTAGATGCGCGAATCGTGACTCTAGCTATATTGAAATAAATGATAAAAAGATCTGAAATTTATATATTGTTATAAAAAAAAAGACGTGGAAGGTATATATAAATAAGTTACATCTACAACTCATACTTCTTTGGTTTCATGATCGTGTCATACACATTCAATATTGCTAGTTATCAACGTTTAGATAATTTGTATTAAGATCCTAATACTCTTATGCTTATATAAGGATTTGTTCTAAGTGCATTGATTTGCACTTAACATAGCAAAACTAAGTTTTGGTCATCTTTTACAACCAGTTTTATTATTAAAATAAAATATATTTAAGTTACTTTTATATTCTCACATACATATTTTGCGATCACGGATGTGGTTTCACTACTTCTCCTCGACTCAGTAAATTGCAACTTTTGCACTCTATTAATTAAAACCATAAAGATTCGATACTTGTTTTTATAATTTATAAAGACTCGAAATATTTTTCGAAAACATTCGCCGAATTATTTTTTAACAAATTTAAATTAATTTTTACCTATATCTACATGTATTAATAATTAATATTATGTTCTTTAAATATTATTTAGAAAATTCGCTTTTATTTATAGTTCCACGATTCTGTTCATTTATGAATTAATTACATTAAATCACTAGTAAGTTCGTATGGAATATCGTTGAACGGGCAATAACTTTATAAGAAAGCGTTATATGAATGTATGAATTTATCTGAGATTTCTTCTGTAATGTTTCAGTAATACAATTAGACATGATAATTTATGAAAGATAAAATCATTTAATCAAAAGAAATCAAAACTAGATACGATGTTTCCAAAGTAATCTAATCGCATTAGGTTATATTCACTGATCTAGTCGTAAAGGAAGCAATGCTTAAAAAACCAAATTGAAAATCAGTGCCTGGCAAAGAAGCTGGATGAACATACCGTTTCCATATTATCATGTTAATGAGCATTTAATATCACATTTTTTACCAAGCTCGTAAATTTACCGTTAAAGCTGTTTTAAGCGCCATGTGTGCCTCGCCTTTCCCACGAACGTTATATTAAAAAACCTATGTCGACGGTGTTTCAATTGTCGCATACGCTTTTACATATCGTGAATTGCAGACATTTCTAGCATTCAAAATTTTTATGTTTCGACCTTAGTCGGGTCACGTATGGATTATAGATCCGTTTACCGATCTAACGTTTCATTCAAAGAAATTCAATTAATTCGTGCAAATGAACCGCTTGGTTAAAGGCAAACTTTTCGCTTGGAAGGAATACACGAGGCATGTGCATGTGTATTTTTGTGCAGTCAGAGTGGCGGATTCGTAGGCTGGTTGGTCGCGAAGCGAAGGGCCGCGTCACGAAGGCAAAGTTAACGGCCCATAATTCATAGCCGACATATAATAAATATCGTTACTCCATCGTAAGCGCACGTAGACACGCGCATTGCGGTCTTATGTGCACGTCCCTTCGTGTAATATGTATGTAAAGATGTAAATGTTGGCGACTCCATATAGGCTTTCCCTGAGATTACGTGGTGAGCTTTCGTCCTTGGCAGAGGTAATAAAAGTCTCCTTTAACAATGCACTCACGCGCAGAATAAAATAATAGTCGCCCTTTTTAAAAGCCTTTTTACCCTTTTATCGTGTACCGTGAATATACAGGCGTTTTTTGAAATTCGGGGTCAAAAGAAATTCTTTATTGGGCCGTAGCTTCTTTAAACGTATTGCTTTTATGTTCGTTAACTCATTTATCTTTGAAACGTTTTTGCTATCTTCCAGTATATGTCATTTGCATTAATTTTATGTAACTGGTTTTGTAATAAATAATTGTGTAATTGTCGTTACTTTTAATAGAATATCTACATTTATTTCGAGTTTTCTTAACTGTATAAATAATATTCGTTTAAAAGTATTGGCATAATATATTTCTGTATCTTTTTTAGGTTATTTATTCTTCTTTATGAATTCGTTTCTTTCGCCACATCGATTTATTGCTTTAAAATTATGTCTATAAAAATTAATTTATATACAAATTATAAACTTGTATTTACAAATATTTTATTTCCGAATCTATTACATTACAGTAAGACTACACCGACTGTATATGTAAATGACTAACGGTAGGCAGAAGCAAAAAAAATTTATACACTCGCATTTTTAGTCTTCCATGCCATTGGGTCATTGAACTTACGAAACAACGTTGTATCCTTGAGTTACAAGTTTATGTTTTTCGTTTTCTTCGGCATCGTGTATAGGAGAGAATATGTATAAATAAATGTGTACGTACATACCAACTTTGAGTTTCTTTATGAGATTTACAAAATTGTCACTTTAATTGTTAATTAGATTTTCTAATAATAATAACTAAAATAAATACAATTTTTTGTACTTTGCAGATGCGTGTACGTTACGACAATCTCATATATTTCACATTAACTTCAACGATTCTCCGAAGGAATAAGTTCCAAAGATACTGCAAATATGCTTGTAAACTCCATTCGTGCGTGTGCGCGTGTGTATCAAAACGAGATAAAAAATATTATACGCGCAGAGGAACCCAAAATAAGGTGAATAAAAAATATCTTGCATGGCCGACCACCGCGGTTTGCGGTTACAGTGTGCAACGAAAAAAGAATTCTTCATTTCGTCTCTTTCTTCTTCCTTTCTTCGTTTGACTTGTTCCTGTCCTCTTGGTTCGCCATCCTTCTCTTCGTTCTTCGTTCGTGAGACTTTCAACGTGTGTAGACAGCCGGATTTATATTCAAATGAATCGCCGTGGAAGGGTCGACTTATCAACGTATCAAACCCGACGAGGCGAAGAATAGACAAGGGGGTGAGTTGCGAAAGAATGTTTGCTTCTTGATCGATCACTGGTATCGCTTGAGGGAATTGTTATTAATTATCCTAAGAACTTGTTCCTTGATAATTAATTCTGGAATACGAAGAACGCCCATTTCGTATTGTAGTCGAATCTGTCATTTATCATATTATTATCCAACTAAATATTTATGTATCATCGACGACTAGCGTTCAGTGTTGAAAATTAAGACAAATTTTATATTTTATATCGTAATATAAAATGTTTTCAATATTTTAAAAGATCAATGTATACAGTTTTTAACTCTTTGTGATTGTAGGAAATATTTTTTAGTATACTCGCGCGATACCTTCTAATTAATACGCAGAGATTTATATACGTAAAAGATAACCGTGGCAATTACGTAGACAGATAGCCGATAACGACGACTGCCCTTTCGAAATATTACGCGGCGAATAGTCATCATTTTGTGAACAAGCTCGAAAAGTTTTTCGAGGGCGCAATTATCGGCAGAACGATTTCCTTCGTTCGCGCCGCTACATGACTTTATTTAGCTTTAGTTTGTTGAAACCGGTTGCAAGCGACTTCTCTCTTCTCTTACTGCAATACCGAGAGTTCGGTGCTCCGCATCATTTAGGGTTCCTCGGGTGGAGGAAGGAATTTCGCGTTCACCACGCTCGACAGCTTCTTTCGCATAAAGGTAATCCTTCGTGCAGCAACTTTCGAACGATTTAGTAATACGTACTTTGATTTATCGAGTATTTATGAATTCGTAACACCAATCATTTTTCGTTGGATCGCGTCTAGAAGTTAGACGATTTCGAAAAAAAATATTACTAGAAACGAAACGTTATAATTCATATGAATAATTGGGTTGCAACTGCGATATCAATCAGATTAATTAGCGAACAGAATGATCAAATTTACTGTACGATTATAAATACAATTAAATTGTGACGAAGTGATTTATTAAGTTAGTTACGATATAATAGATTACAGACGATAATCGTAACGCAACAATTTACTTGCGATAGTCGATTTATCTTGCGATCGAGGGACTTTTAAAAGCTTCGATCCCTTCGGGGAATGACGTTCAAGTGCAAAGAAATTCGGTCAGGGCCGTCATACGACTCGATCTTCCGCTTTTTGCAGTTAAAGAGTCGCGTCTTAATTATCCTTTTTTCTTATCCGTCGGAGCTTGTAAATTACATTCCATGGTTGGCCGACGTACCAGGAGGAAAGCGGATCACCGTGCTTCGCATTAGATCGAGCGTGGGTAGCTTGCGTCATTAAGCATAGTAACTTACGGTACAAGAATGACTTTGGCTTTGGCGGAGAAAGTGACCGGGTGTGGCCATTGCGAGACATTGTACATCGTACGCATTTGTATACACTAGCCTCGAAGAAAGATTTTCGTTGTTCGTTGTCTTTGACAGCGTCTATTGTTCTATCAATTTTTCTCTTGTCTCAATGGTTAAGACGTTTCTCTTAGTAAAGCTGTTCTTAAACTGCAACCTATAAGGATGTAAATCTCATTTCTAACAGTCGGGTCTGGCAGTACGGTAGTTATTATCGAGAAAGGAATTTAATCGAAGAAATCGGCGAATTCTTTTTGTTCTAATGAATTCTTACTTAGCGAGAAATTGAACGTAATCCATGCGGAGATATTATCTATGTTCTATGATTTTTCTACATTATGAAACAAATATCATTTTTTTCATATATGATTATATTTTCAAGGAACATCGTTGCCGATGTACTTTGTATAGCTTAATATGTATAATTTCATCAGAATGATACAGATTGTATCGTACCTAAGGATACATCGTAAATTCAACATGTCTTCGTCGACTGATGTTTGCTTCGAATAACGAGAAGGACGTAAAGCATGTTCAAACCTCGAATAAACGTAGAAAAACTGGCTTCCAAGTCTTGCGAGGTACGCTGCAAAGCTTTCTGTCAAATTTGGTAAGTTTAATATTTATGTTTCCGGTCGAAGCCGGTTTGTCGGTAGCATTATTGCGGAACGTATAAAAAAAGTGCGGGCATATGTATCGAAAATCTTTAACCGTACTAAAAAAGAATTAATTCGCATAAAACAATGTTGAAATCATTAAACTACGATAGATATGTCCTCCACATCTTGCATAAAATTATAGAACAGGGACGAGTACGAGTTATATTCTTTTATTTTTAGTTATAGTTTCCCACGAATTAATGGATACTTTGGACAAGTGTATCCATAATTGCGGTACTAAAAGTTGACTTCTACTTTTAAACATATAGACGATGACTTGGATCGCTAAAGTAAACTGCATCGAATTAAACGCCATTAAAATGTGGTGTCCGTCGAGTATACGTTAGTAGCGAAAATGATGGATATTCTAGGCGCTGATGTATTCGAATTTCAAGATTTTTATCTGACGAGCTCTGTGTTTGGAATCATTGTTTTCAGGAAACGTAAGAAACGTAAGACGTGTTCGAACTTACTATCAACCAAGTTGAGCCACCCGAACCAAACGTGCAAACGGTTTGGCCGGTTTTCGAGGTAGAGTTCATCGAACCTTGGTTGCAAGGGATTGATCGTGTATGGCTACTGAAGGTATGTGCACAAACAATCATTGATCTGTGACGCCCGGCCGCCTACATATTACTTACATATTATCTAGTTCGAGCTCAAATAGGACGCGCCGCTTAGATCCAGAAACAAAACTTCTGTTATCACTTTCATCAGCTGCGAATAATTTTATAAGCAATTTCTAGGCCAAGGTAAATAATTTTCACTACTAGCTTCGAGTAAGAGTTTTATCCGATCGTATATAACTACTTGCTCTTCTTTTAACCAAGATCTTTCCTTTTAAATTGTCGTTATATACCATTGGCTATTTTATTATATACTTATTTTATTATATTGTATTTATTATATATCAAGATGACTGGCTTGAAAATAAAATTACTACAATTCTTTTTACAGCGAATTCCGCAATGAAAAAGAAGACCGTGGATCTGTCCGTGAGAGTATTTGTCATTTTTCGTAGTTTAAGAATGCACAGAAACTCGTTAAACATTTCTTCGATCTTTCCTCATCCACCGAGCCGTGCACTCGCCTCTTTCCTCTTCTTTGCAACCGAGAAGAACCGTCCCGGGACCATTGTTAAATCTTTTTCGAGGTTATTACACGTACGATATGTAAATGTGTCGCTGGGTCCGGTCCTCGACGTCGGAGGACCAGCTTCTTTCTTTTTCTTTCTTTCATTCCGATCCTTCTCTCTATTTCTCTTTTATTCCACACGGCTTCTTCTCTCATCTTGTCAGGGGCGGATCAGATCGAATCCGTCTCGATAAAATAGACCTGTTCACGATAATAAAGCCAGCCAATTACAATTCATGAGAGGCAAGTCAATTCATTCGTCGAGATGATCTTCCGAATTTCTTGTTTCTTACTGCAACTATTCTATATATATGAAATAATGTTACTTTATTAGACCTCTAAATATCGTATACCTATTTATACTGTATTCGCTATAATTATACTATATTTCATTACACGTATAATTTATATGAAATAACACGCACATCATACGAAATAAAATTTTCTTTTATAAAAATGAATTGTTAAAAAGATTATCGAAGTTTCTATTTTGCACATTTATATATATATATATATACATGTATAATTATATCGAATTATAAACCTTTATTCATCAGTCCAACAATTCGATGAACTTATATGTTTTATGCCAAAAATAGCAACTACGTAATGAAGATTTATAAAATATCGAAGACGAACAAGTATCCAACTACGATTCTTACCTAAAATATTTCATCAAGCAATTGTAAGTAAGAAGTATCGCTCGTTCATAATTCAGTACTCAATTTTAGCGTAATAGTTTGTATTATTTTTAGTAAATTATTGATATTCCATTATTTAAACTATTCGATAGAAAAAGACAACTCTATCGAAAAGGTTTGCGTGGATCCGCTCCTGCTGTATGCCACTACTACCTCAGCATCGTCATCACCATCTCCCTGGCTCCTCCGTAACGGATAGGCTTCACCTCCAGAACGGAACTCCAGTCTGCTTCCAGTTTCTCCCTCGAGAATGCTTGTTGACTTAGTCGGAGTTCGGCTCCCACAACGCGCGCTTCGTGGCCACTCCACTGACTTGTCCCATCAGAGAACTGGTCCATGCTCTGACAGAAAATATCATTTAGTATCGAAGATCTTGGAACAACTTGCATAGTGTTCGTTGACCTTCGTTGCATCGAATTATTCGATACGAAAAGCATTCTCTAAGGATACAAAAAGACTTTCGAATCTACTTCGCAATTGTGTTTTGTTATAATTTTGATAGTGTTTATAATTAAAGTAAAAAAGAAAGAGAGCATAACATTATCGTTAGAAGAAGTTGATACGAGGAAGAAATGTGTGGCAAGCAGTATCGTCGACATATCGAAGACAGACAATGATCGATACTTGAAAGGTTCATTTATTATCATGATTAAATACAAAGTCGTAGTTAATATTCGTATAATTCAATGTTAAATCGATTACAGTAATGTGCACCGTGATACCTGTTTTTACAGGTTTTACTCTGGTTTTACTCAGTCTATGCTTCACTCTACTTACCGCTGACCCTGTTCATAATAATTAATGGTGTTAGACTCCGTGAATGCCTGCGGACTGGTCATGCCTGGCTCTCATACAGAATAGGCTGCGGCTTTATTTGCTTCTATTAGCACTGGTTATTTTCAAAATTGTTTGTAAAGAATTTTTCTGCGGTAAACGTTTGCTTTAAAAATAGTTACAGTCTATTGTTATAGTAATTGGGAAAATGATGAATCCTTTCTCCACGTGTATTTAGTTATAACGCAAGTATCAGTTTTTTAATATTGTTATCGCGATTGTTATATTATACTTGTAGCGAGATGATCCAAGAGCTCGTGGTGGTAAAAGCGAGATAAATTAGAAATATCTCATTTACGTCACAATGTAAATCTTTAATTTATATAACTTCCCAGAAGGAAATGTAAAAATCATACGACGAAGTACGACGGAAGAACGAGTATACAACGTACGGTCTATATTTTCTTCAAGAGAAAAGCAATTTTCCATTTGTTGGTTTGATTATTAGCGACGCGCGTTAGTGCGATTTCCAAGCAGTCCCTGATTAAAACCGGTGCTCACTTTTACCCACTAAATCTAATCAAATGAACCGACAAGGCTTAATTACCGAGGCGAATCGTAATTACAGGTGTGCCATTCTTCGGAGGAAAGGGAGGCGGGCGCATAAGGATGCGCTTACGCAGGAAACGGTGCATGTCCCGGTGACGCTACAGAAACTTGGAGCCATACAGAGCCATACAGAGATAACCACGGAAGTACGGATGACGCGATGAGACTGAGCCCGATTATCTTGTCGTGGGCCACAGCGAGCTGGCTTGGTCCAACCGGAACTACGGCGATACGAGCTCAAGCCTCGAAGGACTACGAGTTGTCGACTGAATTCTTCCTGGTACCTAGCGACGTAGCGATGGACAAGAACGGTCTGGCCAGTGTAGCGAGTGTCATCAGCGTTCCAGCACCGAACAGGACGGTTTCGGTGTTCAAAATGCCTCCTGGAAAGAAGAACCAGGAGATCGAGGTCGATACTCGGCCGTACTCGAGGTCCTTGCTCAGACAACGACCCTGGGCTCTTCCTCTGGCGGCCCTCAGCGCAGCCACGATGCTCCTCATGGCTGGCTTCGAGGTTTTCGTACTGCTCAAGGTCGGTTCGTTTACCTTTACAACCAACCTTTTTCAAACCGATCTCGGTCGATCGCAAATTCAACCGAAGATCAGAGAAACGATAGTTCGCTGGTGAAAATAGAGGAATGTACAATTTATTTATCGAAAAACAGCGTCTATAAAAATTTTCTCTCGTCCATTGTAGATTACTCGTATATCACGTAATCACTTTACGCTTCTCGATGGTTTTCATTTAAAAAATCCCCAAAGGTATTTGTAAAAGTTATAAATATAAATCGTGAAGGGTACTATTTTAAAATGCAAGCGTCGTGGTGACATACAATTTATAATTCGACGGTTTCACTACCGGAAATAGAGCGCAAAGACGTTTTGTTTTACAAGCGCTAAAAAAAGCGGGAAGAGCTTGTTACCAATTGAACCGATCGCGTGCGATAGCGTGAAACGTATTTTCGCGGTCGTATAAGCATCTATAATTGAAATTTGAGGAAGCACCGGATTAATAGAGCTTAGAAAGAAACCTTTATCTCTTTTCCTCTCGATAGTACGTGGAAATGTATACAAGAATTTATGGTAATTGTTTTCGTTCATACTTCGACAAGCTCCAATAACCAGCACGCTCGTAATTTCGCCGAGACCTAGGCCTAGTTTGCATGTCGACTGCCTATTTCTCCTAGTCGTGTCGTCTGCTCGTATCGATACACTCCATTGAACAGGAGCCACCAGGAAAGCCTTTGATAGCTTTGATGTCTATACTATCTTTAATAGCGTCATTATGCTGCCAAGGATTTTAACGTTGATCGTCATTCTCTAAAATTTAAATTGCAAGACAGGAGGGGTATTCCCGATCAAATGTTTTCAGAACCAATTACTGCTCGTCCTTTCTCTTTTATTTAATATTCTCACAAGTGAGAAATGAAATATTAATGTAAATCGAAGCAACAATTAATTTAATTCATTTTATCAAACATATGCATGTAGTTGCATGCATCGTCAAGGGTTCCATGTTTACCTTAACAGATACGTATGGCTGCTTTATTAGTTAGTCGAATTGGTGAAATTAACCCGCGTAATTATAATTTATCTATGTATGATTATATCGCGGCATGTAAAGATTCACTTCGCGAAAGGTCTGACACGCAACAATCCTTATCGTATCTTTCTAGCTTGTCGAACATTAATAGTACAAACGCAGGTAGACAAGGAGATTTTACCTTAGAAACATACACTGAGATACTTTCTGTTCGCCATATCGAGGTTTCCTTCGTTAAGGAAGAAAAATTAGAGCATGCTGATTTTCTCGCGTGAGACGCCGCCGTTTACTGCTTACTTGCATTATTCTCCCAGAATTTCTGTCCTATAAAACCGTATATAATGTAAATTATGCTCTTAGAATACGTTTCGCCAATACCACAAAAATAGTCGGTGTAAAAATGATCTTCGGCATAAAAATACATACAAGTAACGTAACATTTAATGAAATTTTCCAGGCAAGGGTAACCGCGCCAAACAGACGACATTTATTTCTGGGACAAGCTCTACTTTTAGGCCTTTTCCTCCTGGCAGGACTCTCAGCAGCAGCCTCCCTCAGTCAAAACCCTCTGTCCTGCGCTGCATTTAGATTAGTCGGCTTACCTGCTGCTCTTGTATTTGCAGCCTTGCTGGTTAAATGCGTGTTCCTGCTCTCATTAAATAGTGGAGTTTATCTACCAGCACCTTATCAAGTAAGTTTGATAACGTTCCAGAATCCTAATGCATTAGATTGCAAAATACATTGCAATGTAAGAACAACGTAAGTTTTCCAGTTTGCGTAGGTAAGATGAATTCAAAATTCATCGATAGGAAAGCAAACTTAATATTTTTTCGACAAAAGACGTCTCCCTTTTTTCTCTCGCTGTTTAATAATTTTCTATTTTACAATTTACTTGCGGTTGAGTAATACGTCATTTCTAAAGTGTAAGGAGAAATCTTATTTTTGTAAAATTAGCCAACAATTCATTGTGCATACTATTAAAATGGGGAGCGTAGAATCTATTATTTCTACTGCGATTCGTAATTTGTCTAAATTTATACGTCGTTTCCAACGAAAGGTAGACATGTTTCTTTAATTTTGCATAGTGTTACTTTCTATGCCATTGATCCAATGCCTGGCCGTAAGGCGATTGAAACACAATCGAAAGTTCTTGTCCTAGCCAGTGTGAATACAGCTTTAGAAAACGGCTCGCAGAAACTCGTGGAACAACTCTCACGAAGGATGCACGGGATTTTTCTTATTTCGTCGTGTCGGAGATCCGGATGTCGATCTCGATCGACTATTTGTACGTGCGGGACGGGATCTGAATGAAAAGTAACGCAGTAGTAACGCCCGCTACTAATAGCAGTAAATGCAGCTGTTGTGGTCGTTAAGCATGCCTTGCCGTTCGTTGAATAATATTAATATCTCCGACATTTTCTGCCTCGCCTAACGGATTCGACGGATTTTCTTCTGTTGCTTTTTATCGATAGGTGTGATTATATGCATCGAAGGAAGCGGCGTTAAAAACTAGAAAGCAATTTATAAAATAATCTGTTAGAAAAATCAGCCGCATCTCTTTTCCTCCTATAATAATTCTTCGTTTATAATCGCGATCGTTTAATAGAACCTTGAACATGGCGGGGAACTGCCCGTTCATCAATAAATTATAATGTGACTGACAAGCGTTAAGAATGTTAATTAAGAATGCCATCGTAATAATTACAGCGATTCATCGTTAATCGGTCAAAGCCCGATGCCCATTCAATACATTTTTCAAGACTCTATTGAAATACAGCTTATATACGTGTACCACATACGCGAACGTTAATATATGGTGTATGTTCGTCCTCTGTGTTACAGGCACTAGTATTGGGATTCGCCGTGCTCGTGCAGGTAGCTATCATTGGACAATGGTTTTACGGCGAGCCACCTACGGTGGTTCAGGTACAAAATACAGGACAAAACTCTCCAATGTCCTGTTGCAAAACTCCTCTTGGACAGATAGTGGCTTCCCTCGGGTAAACTTTTGAAATGTAAACCTCTTCCATCGACAATATTTCACGGTTATAAAAATGACACTTGCTATCAGGCTATGAATTGAAATTACACCGTTGCAATGGAAAATCGTTAGGAAATATTTCCAGACTTGTACGATTCTAATCTTCCTATAATTCGAAGGAAACTTATCCGGCTCTAACACGCTATCGGTATAAAAGCGAAAGAAAGATAATTTTTCTAAACCCACAGAAACGTAAATTGCGAATGAAATTTTAAAGGTGACGCATTGAAGATCGAACGATCGGTTTTCAGATATCCGGGCGCGCTGTTGGTTGCAGTAGCTTGTTTAGCAGTTCGAGCACGCGGCGTTCGAGACAACAACCGGGAAGCAGCATTTATTGGCCTGGCTGTTGGTTTATCGCTTCCGATTTGGATATCGAGTGCGATCGGTTCAGTGGCTGCCTCGACGGAGAGTGACAGAGAAGCCTGGCTAGCTTATGGTTTATTGACTACTTCCCTTCTCGTGTTCCTGACGATGTTCCTGCCGAAGGGTCGCCAGTTAGCTGCCCTCGGTCGAGAAGCTTCCGCAACGGTGATTCGTGATCGAGACGATGCTTTGAGCTCGCTTCCTGGCAGCCGTTACTCGCCTTCCTTCTTCCACTTCAAGCCAGCTGAAGCTTCTTTAAAGAGAAAGATGCATTATCACAGCGGCGGTACGTTCATAGTTGTGTACTCTTTGGCTTGTTACGTGTATGTAATTGAAGACATTTTCACCAATTAAAACGTTACCGCTAAGCTATTTATTAACGCCTCCTCGGCGTACAGAATCTGTTAATAACGCCGTTAATTAAGAAAAACGAAAATCACGAGTATTTAGCCAAAATCCATATCGTAAAGTTTTGTTGTAGCAAGAAATTTCGTATTACTTCGCTTTTCTTTTTCTTTTGTTTACTTTACGAATGATACTTTCCAAATGTTGAAATTGAGCGTCGTGCTGATTTCACTATGTTTCTTTTATCAAACGAGCAAATTTCACCTGCGTTTTCATGCACGCATACACCGTTTCTTGTAGCTCGCTTAAACGTCGTTCCGTTTCGATCACTTCGCACGGTATCAGCGTGTTCGTCATGTTTTATCCATTTCAACCGATCGTAAAGCTATATACGAAGAAAGAAAATGATTAATTAAAGTTTAATTAATACAGCGAAGCTATTGTACGTGCGTACGTGTTACGACGAGCTATTAAAAAGTAAAATTTAAGAATTACAATTTTTCTTGCGTGTAAACAGTGTTAAATCTTATACGGTTTACGACAGGAATGTACGTTAAAATTATATCAACTCAAATTTAATGAAAATCAATTAGTACTAATTGTTAGTGTTTTTACCATTGGTATAATGTAATAATGCACATATTATTGATGCCTTTGATTGCAGATCGCGTGGCATTAGTTTCATCCGCTATACCTGGATGCACTGCCTGCAGGCATGGTGGAAGCCCCATATACTCCGACGGTAAGTCCCTCTAGAAATTAGCTAATTGTAAAGTATCAGCGTTTATGTTTGTAACAACCAAAGCTATATATCATTTTAGTTGCAGAGCGTTAGTTTTATTAGAAAATACAGCTTAGGAAACACGTAATTAAAGTAATAGCATGAAAATGTATACAATAAGATATATACATTGTCGGTAATACACAGAATATTCGCGCTATTACTCGCCAATGCCTCTCTTGTGATTCATGAAATATATAATTTATCGTAAATCTTCAAGGGAAAGAAAATGCAATTTCGTCGATCTAAAAATTCGTCTACCGATAGAACGATTAAAAATTCTTTTGTACAGTGTTTTAGATATCGGAACCTAAAGATCTTTCGATATTATATTATCGATAATTTAATATGCCTGATGTTTAATCGAGCTAACGCTAGGCCAATGGATACATATTTTATTTAAATCGAACATACCAAGCACGAACTGATAATTTTGGTACCCGATCGTAATCGAGGAAGAAAAATACCATAGGTATTACAGTAGTCCCGGAAATACCTCGGTTGATTCTCTCGGTAAATTCCCCGTCCAAACTTTTCCTCCGTTACGGCGTCGCCTCTGGCGACCTTCACCTCGAGGAACGAACGAACGAAAGGGAGGAAAAACCTCTTACTGGAAAGGTGGAGAGGGAGAAAGTTTCGAGGCGGAGGTCAAGCGCTTCTCCGAGAATTAATGTGGAAGGGGAAACAAATCCCGTTAGATCAGACGACGCTAGTTAATCGGTGACCTGTTGTTGGTGGTGGCTGATTGAACTTTTTTCGACAAAGGAGAAAACAAATTCTCCACTTTCGTAGATAACAGCTAGTCAAGATTTTCCTCTAAATATAACATTATTGGAGCATGAATCATCGAACGTACATTGTCAATAGATACCGTTCTAAATTACAATTCGGCTTTCGGTATTCAGATTTTGTAAATTAGATCGTTCGAATGAGAGAATTTTCGAATAGAGGAATACTCGTTTTTTCTTATAGCGATACCTGATACGAAAGATAAAGGGAGTAAATAAGAGTTTTATTTAGAAAACTGATTCTTAACGCTTGGATCCAATTTATCCCGTGCGATTGATCCATCAGTAAGGAAACATGGTTTGATAAAGTTAGCTTTTATATAGATAATTAAGTATTGTTTTTACGCAGATAATATAATACGAAGGTAACAATCTATTATCTTAGAATACGAGAAGAGAAAAACAATTCTATAGTCGCGGTTGCCATCGATAAAATATGCTGTACGTAGCTACTTTTTGGAAAAAGAAATTTTAAATTGTCGAATAATATCACTTTTTAAGAAGGAAACGTTTCGAGTAAATGTGTTAGCTTCGTAATATATCTCTTTATCGTAATGTCCATTATTACGAGTAGGGCGTGGATTATACTACATATTGCGAGGCAGAGGTCACTAGCCTGCCAGGCATAAACCATCCGCTCGTTTATGACACCGGTTCTAGTTATCATAATATTCAGCTACATCGTTTTTCAACCTTTCGATTAAGTTTATAAATCAATTGCCGTTGCGTAAAAAGTTTGATTGAGATTTTGCTGGAAATATTCTTCAGTTTCTTACGAAACTGCGATCGAAACCGTTTCTTACGATATCTGCTTGTCTTTTTGTATCTCTCTTTTAATTTGAAGGAGCAAGGAAAAGTATTATCCAATAGCTGATCAAAGGAGATAACTAAATTCCTATGTCAAAAGTCTTCTTTAAACGTATAGATCTTATTGCTACATATTACGGCCACTTTCTAATCTCTTTACTACGATAATGATAAGTCTTAATATCCAGCTATTTATTTAATAAAAGTTACAAGTATTTCTACTACTTCGGTTTCAAATTTCTCAGAACTTTTTCCACCATTCCAAAAATAGACATCTTATTAAAAGTTACTGGCCGACTTTTTCTGTTTCCTTTGGTCCTTCGTGACAACGCAATTTCAAAAATAATAAAATTACTCTCCCGTAACAAGAAACTTTCGAATAATCACAAGTTTGTGAGCAACGTGACAGGTGTGACCCACTTTGAAATGCGGTTACGTGTACGAAACAATTGTGCCTTTGCTTAATGAAGATTTTGTGTCAGCATTTCGCGCCTAATCTCCTGAAGCCTGTCACGAATATTTGCAGAACCTAAAACGCGGTTAAAACGAAGGTAAAATAATACGAGTACGAATAAAATATAGAAATGTAACACCAAATATAAATACATTTATCGTGAAAATTACGCTCTACTGCTTAACACGACCGGAAGGATAAGCGAGCACGCGACGTTTTCATTGTTACCGGAAATTAATAACGTGTTTTGGCAGGACGTAAAAACGGATAACAAATTGCCACCCAGCTTATCAAGTTTCTTAGTCATATTTTAAAAATACGTAAATTCTATATTTCTCTATGAGAAATAAAATTTGTGGATAATTCTTAAAATTACTTTGATAATATAATACAAGTCTTCGCTGACTATTTCCACGATTACGAATGATCGTTACGCGAATTCATTGAGAAATAAATATTATTTTACAGATGTTCATGCACCGATGGAGACGTTCGTCTTACCACCAGGCATGTATTTGAGGCCGGAAGACGCAGGAAATTTGTACACGACTCTATCAGCAAATCCGAACGTATTCTTTCAACGAGCAGCTCATCCCGGGATGATGTATTGATAATTTTCCACACACACATTCGAATAAATGTCTGGTAAAAGGACATTTATTTTTTTAAAGGACATGCTTTTCTACATTCTTAGATTAGATAACCACGAGGCGGACTTCGTTTTCTGTTCGCTTGTTTTGTTATTGTAAATAATGAAACGTGTAAGCTACGTTGGAGATTTTTTTTTTTTATTAGCTTCTCTCATTGTGGAAGCTACGCACGATTATTTCGATAACAAATCAAAATATAGCAACTGGAGGCGAATTTCGCAAGAAATTATAATAAAGGTACGATCCATTTTTTATATGTCTTTTTTTTCTTTTCATCATTATACCTTGATTATCGAGATTTCAATAATACCCACAGGGAAGATCATGCGAATAACGCATTGATGAAACTGCTGCTCTATATTAGAATTCAATCGTACATTACATTGAAAACAGTTCTTCGTTTCTTTCTTATCAATGACTCATTTCCTCGCGATTATCACCTTTGCAGCTTTTCTTATTGAGGCGCAGTTAACTTTAGATTATACCGCACAGTGGAACACATTTATCTGCTTGAAAAACTATTTAAAGAGTCCCAGATATATAGTTATGTTTTATAGCATAATATTTACATCTTCTACCTAAATGGTAAAACGAAAAGATTATAAATGTCTAAACATTGAGAACAATATCTAGACAGATTTATAGTCGTTTTTATAATATTCGCGTATCTTTCAAGAAGGCTGTGGCGTTATTCAAATATACTACACTACTGTTTACACATGGTTATTATTGATTACATATACTGCAGTAAGAACTCCATTTATCCGAACTTGTCAAAGAATAGAACTCGTAAGTGGAACGTTCATATAATAGTAGTTGACTGGATTTTATAATTACCTATAATCTTTTATCCAAATAGTCAGATTCGTAGTGGAAAAAACAAATTTAATCACACATCTGCTCATCGTTTCTCTGCTTGCAGAAATGCATCACATCTTATTTTCTAAATGAATTTCCGAGACCTGTAATTTCGAAATGCTCGGATTTTTAGCTAAACAATTTTTTATTTATTTGTATTATTTTATTTATTTATGTTCTTATTAACTACAAAGAAAATTAATGAAGTTCATTTAAAAGCGTTGCATATGGGAGTTATTTCAGAATTTTACTTAATGAAAGAATTCCGATAAGTGGCGTTGTAGTATACTACGTATTTTGCATTTACTACGAAGCATACATATTTACTACGCGTAATTGCGTATGTACAGTGCACTTTAACACAGTGATGGTGACAGTAAACGACAGGTTGCTTTCTTGACGTCACATGGTTAGGTGTAGTAGAAGGGAGATTGCTTTCTTCACAGCACGCTCGTCCGTGCATCACAGCTGTCAATGGTATGGTTCTTTATAAAATTGTTTTCGTGTATCATAATCGAAAAGTAATGTGACATCTGTGAAACCTCCCTTTAAGTACTCGTTAACAATATTTGAACAAAAATCTAGAACAAAACGATCAATTAACCAACCGTTGACATTTCATATATTACTTTTTAACCTAAAAAGTATGTTGGAAAACAGTGCACAGTCACTGTAATACAACCTGATTCCAGATGCTAACAAAGTTAGAGTAAAATTTTGTGTGATTGTTTTACATCGTATTATCCTAAAAATGGCTGATACATTAAAATATCTTAGGTGAGTAAAAATTGTATAATATGTATCTTTTTCTGTACATGTTTTTTTTGTAATCAATGTTCTTTCCTTCAAGTCTGTATTGGTTTGTAGCCTTTGGCTCTTATGCTTCAAATATAAATTATGAATTAAAAATTTAATATCTAGTTAAAAATATGTTTTTGTTTTATATTTTGATCGATATATTTGTTATCTATGCTCTATAATAGTAAATAATTTTAGTAATGAAAAATTACTTACTATGTATTTTAGAATTTATTTTGTCACATGGAATGTGGCAACTAAATACCCAGAGGAGGATTTGCATGAACTTCTTGATGTGAATCAGATTAACGAATCAAAAACATTACCAGATTTATACATTGTTGGGTAAGTATAATTTGCACAAATTTATTCGTGTCATCCATAAAATGATTAAATTCATAAATTACGTTAGATTACAAGAAGTTAAAGCTCAGCCACAAAATATGGTGATGGACATATTCTTCGATGATCCATGGACTAAATCTTTTAGGTATATATATAAACGTAGAAAATAATACAGTAACAAATTTAATTATATATATAAATTAACAGTTAAATTTCTGAAAGCTAATGATTGTTATGTCAAAAATGGTATTTAAGAATTTTATTGTATACAATTCTTGCAGAGATATATTAAAGAAATATGATTACGTAAAAATACGTACACAACGTTTACAGGGTCTTGTTTTAAATATCTTTTGCTTAAGAAAACATATTACACATTTAAGATTAATAGAGGCTCAATATACAAGGACAGGATGTGGAGGCATGTGGGTAAGAAGAAATTATAATTATATAAACTCATTCCTTAATTTTTTTTTAGTAAAAAGATACATTACTTAAAGGGAAATAAAGGTGCAGTGAGTATAAGATTAAATATGTATGGAATTAACATGTGTATAGTAAATACACACTTGACACCACATGATCATTTATTAACAGACAGAATTATGGATTATAATACAATACTCACAAGTCATAACTTTAGTAGTCCAGATACTTCAAAAATATTATTTCATGAGTCAGTAATATTCTTTAAATTAATTCAATTTAATCCATAAATACAAAATAAATTATCCATATCACTTTCCGCATAGTTATGTGTTTTGGATTGGTGACTTAAATTTTCGATTACACGGAGAGGATCTAACTGCCACAGAAATAGACATACTAGTTAGGAAAAATGAATTAAGATCCTTATTAACCAGAGATCAATTGAAGATGGTAATGGAGAAGGGTGAAGCTTTTTCTGAATTGAATGAGAATCCTATTACATTTCCTCCTACTTATAAATATGAATTTGCATCTCAAGAATTTGATCTCAAGTAAGATAAGACTATGATACTCACATTTTCTAATTGTATTTTCTTTTAACTAAGAATTTTCTATTTAGGCGTCGACCATCATGGACTGATAGAATTTTGTACAGAGTAAATGCAGATATTTATGACGATGTTAAATTGAATGCTATTCAGCGTAATTATAAAAGTCATTCCAATTATGTACAATCAGACCATAAGCCTGTCACAGGAGAATTTGATATTGTCGTAAGATTTTTTGTACAATATAAAGATCAGTGAAAATTAATAATAAATGACAGAAAATGTCATTTTATTATAAAACTTTGCATTATTTTTATAGATTAGACCAAATGTAGAGGACCATGGTGTAGAGTTCCAACCTGTGTCATCATGGTTTATAGATGAAGAAAATTCAGTATCATATAGATTATTAGGAGACGCGAGACCAGCTAGTGGCGATTGGGTGGGTCTTTTTCACAATGAATTTTCCAGTCTAGACGAATATATCGTTTATGAATATGTAGGTCGAGGTGAGCGAGATATCATTTTATTATATTTCTTTGAATATATTAATTTTCATTTTGCATACATATATCATAGTTATTTCGGTAAATCAATAATAAAGACTTATGGTAGGTAAATCGTCTCCAGTTCCTCTCGAACCACATTCGATCACCGAGCGAATTTACTTTAGCGATACTGCGCTTCGAGCACCAGGAATGTATCGTTTGGTATATGTTGCTCAACGAGGGAATCTTGTTGGAATTTTAGGCATTAGTCCACCGTTTCCAGGACATCACAGACCTGCTTGATAAATTGGTTCGTGTAATATAGTCAGAATAGGCAGAGTGATAGTCGCTTAATGTTTAATGAATAAGATACTGCACCTTATGTGTGTGCTTAGTTAACAAATTTATACACACAAATATTGGATAATTTTATTAAGTGGTTGAGAATTATTTTATTTGACTGTAACTCTTTGGGGTCCAATATTTTTTTATTTTCTTGTTAGGATGAATAACTATCTATAAAGACTAAAATACTATTTTGCATATACACTTATGCAACATATATATCATGAAAATGATAAACATATTGAATATTTTTTATGCTTCAAACTAGTACTGTATAGGATAATTCTACCAAATAAGGATGAACTGTACTTATTTCATGATTGTTTCTCTACAATTATTTTCATCTTCAAAGTTGAATGGTTGAAAGGGTATTGTCTTTCTGCAATGTGTTATTTGATTTTATGAGCATTGTAGATGCAATATGCACTTAGAAAATTGAATATTTCATAAGATATCTGATAGTTTACATTATACATCGATTTTATTATAGCGAACATTCAAAGAGCGTGACAAGAGGTTAATATATTTTGCCCATAAATTTTTGACATATTAATGTTGCTGTAACAGATAGAAAATTATGTCACAGAGAGCTAATATCATTATACCATGTAAAATTTTGTCTACAAAAATTTTATTTTGTTTATATCTTAAAGATAATACTAGTTTAGCTTTTGGACTCAATATGAGTTTGAGTAACGAACAAATAATTGTTATACCAACAAGGACCACAAAGAGTTTAAACACATTAGAATTTTTACCTGTATGCATTGTCGTATTTATGAACTTAAACATGTATAAGAGATTTCTGGGAATTCAGGACAAAAAGACAAAACAAGAAGAGATTAATAAGTATTGTATTATTCAGTAAATAATAAGTATTTTGTAAATTAGTTCTTTCTAAGCAATTTGAGGATAAATAATTTTATTAAAAAACTATATTTTTATAATGAATTCGTAAAAATTAGTCTTTATTTTATGGAATAACGTTTTCGTACATAAAGTGTCCTATAAAATGTTGATATTTGCTGGATAATACAATAGCGATAAATGGGAATAGATATACATAGGTGGAAAATGATACTCTTGAAACTATACATAATATAATTTATACAACACTCAATTTTCTGGTTAATGTTGAAAAGTTACTTTCGGTACCTGGTTTTGCTGTTGGGTTATTGCCCAAAAGCATTAGTGCTTAATCGTCTTACGCTTCAGAACATATAGAGAGTGTGTCAGGGTTATTTTTGCACACTTTATATTCGAACAAGCACTCCTAGATAATTACAAATTTTTATTAGTTTAGTAGAAAACCTTTTGGTTCGATTGGCGAAATGTGTGTAATGGTGGTTTGGTTGTACAAACCTATATTATTTTATTTTTGTATAGCACGACAGAAACGCAAAAATAGAGCAAATAAATGTATAATGTAGTATCGGGAAGGATACAAATAAAAAATATTTTTTACTCATACCAAGCAGTTTTTGAAATACCATTTATTGTTTTTTGTCGAAACAAACATATGTATATATTTAAAAATGGATACAATATTTATTATGAGAATGAATTTAATTTCACATAAATAATTTAAAAGTTGTACAATAAATAATACATTCCACTTCTAATGCTAATACTACCAAATACAAAACAACGTTGTCGTCGCTTGTATTTTTCAATTTATTTATTACTAGTGTAAGTAAATAATTCTTAACAGTTCTAACATATAAAAATTATCATTAACACATACTTTTAAGAATACAGTAATGAATACTAATTGAATTGTTTCAGACATGAATTTGTTTTTATTAAAATAATTTAATTATACCGTATTTTCATGAAATTTTATGTAAATAATAAATAGATAAATAATAAATGGAACATAACGTTGCAGGATGCGCTTGCAAATACTATATATTTAGAAATTATTAGAAATGTTTTTAATGTTAACTATACAAGATTCAGAAGAATATACATACATATGTATATTAGATCTAAGATCATAATGTAACCTATTCGGTTATTCTCTGTTGTGTAATTAATGTACAGATATACAGATATCACAATTCGCATACACTATTGTAAAACGAGTTGGAGGCATTTTTACATAATCAAGACAAGTTTCTACGAAGCATGTTATTATTATGCGACTAACAATCACAAACGCGACTTCAAACACAAGAATCGAGTGATCTATTATTAAATACATAAAATTCATTTCATATTTAGAAAACTATGAATTTTTTAAGTCTTTTTTTCTTAGAGTACAAAAATATTCACAGGGAATATGAAGCATCGCAAAATAATTAAATGTGATAGCAAATCAGAAATTAATGGAAGAACGAAAAATGATTCGAAAATGAAATATAAACACATACATGTACATAAACCATGAAGCTTTCATTAGTATGAAATTATCCTCGCAATCGACACGTGGTAATCAAACTATTTAAAATAAATCGTATTATACAAAAATCACACTCGATACATAATCGATGATATGCAAAATAAATATTGACCTCATATATCGTGTTGATGAGATGCATATGTATATGTTATATCGATATTACGCGTATAATAAATAATTCGATAAGTCTTACATAAAATAAATTTGTCAGAATTATCAAACTTTTTTCGTTTGATTAATTCGACGCTTTATAAATAATTCATAGAAAAATTGTACGTCTAATCAAGGAACTTTCAAGCATGTTTCGGCAATTGATTTATAGTTATCTCATAATCCACAACGAATTCGAGGAAAGGTCGAAAAGTTATGTGCACGGAATGATCTTTTATCTAGGCACTGAGTCACCGTTCATTGTTGGAAGCAGATACAGTTCCATGCTTCCAGCTTCCAGTTCTGGTACTTGATTAATACCACGAAGTTGTTGTATTCTGTGCCACACAAAGTCTCTCGGTGGCCTTCGTAGAACAAATAAAGCGAAGATAAGAACACCTTGGAGAGCGTTTACAAGATCGAAGGAGGACCAGTCGAATGAATCTCCGTTGACGAACCAAAATATTAGTTCCATCGTCCAATTAAGAGCCATCAAAACGAAAACAATCATGCAAACTAATGTGGTTCTCATGAGTCGTCGAAGATACTTTCGTTCAAGTCGATCGGATTCTTGATTTCTCGCGAGGCGCCTTAAGTCGAGGTCTCTTTGATATTTAGTTAATTTGACGAAGGTTAGAACGAGAAAAATCACATTCCCAGCAAGAAGCAATCCAATTGGTATGTAAAAGAATGGTATTGCTTCATCTTCCGCTGTAAATTCAAAAATAATAATATGTTTTATCGAATTAATATCGATATGTTTGTTTTAATTTGTAGTTTTATTATCTACTTGAAATTAATGATTTTACGGGGTAATGATATAGAAGTGAATCAAGATCGACACGAATGATATATCATGAAACCTTTTCTTTTTTGATTGATATTTTTTTAGACAAGAGGCTGACTTCTCTGATCTCATACTTAAAAGAGTATTAAGACAGTACGAGGTTAATTGAAACACATGGATGTCGAATTGGAATTCAAATCAAATTGTTACAAATTAAAATTGCAGATGATATTATTGTTCTTTCATAAAATTGCCAAGTGGTGTCTTAAACAATGGTCGTCTGTAGACTAATATTTATTATACTAATATTTCTTTCCAGTTGTTACCGTCGTTTTGAATGATTTAAATCTATACGTCTTGTGTTAAATAGGTCACCAATGATTTATGTTTCGTTCCTCGAAAGTATGTGAATAAAAATAACAGTGACAACTAGTCTTTCTTAGAGTGACAAAATTAAGTGAAAACAAGGATCACGATATTATTAACGTTAAATATATGTGATATGTTTGTGAGAGTTAAACTGTACGCGCGTGTGCGCGGTATGCAGTGAAATTCGAGTCCAACTCCACTTACATTTGAAGGAACAACTTTTCTTGGAGTTTGGTTTCACGTAAGTCGCCGGTATCATCGGACTGAGATCCATAATCATCGACACGAGGTTAAGTATCACCGAGGGACCCCAGCACCATAATGAGTACCAAAAGAACAACATTCTGGGTTTCATCCTTCTGTATGTTCCACGATCCACATAGACACGCACCAATGACCACATTTCCATGCACATCGCATTTAGCCAGAAGAAGCACGCGATGAAGGAGAACTGGATGACGAATGCTGGAAAAGCCAATTGCTTTTTAATTGTTCATTTAAAATCTCAAAGCAGCACTGGTTTTTCTTCCAAAAGAATTACATGTTACATCAGATCATTTTATGGTATCCCGTAAATCGCGCTATCTATGGTAACGTACGTATAGAGTACGGTAGGACTCGATTTATCTTTAACTTATTAGGGAATGAACAGCTTTGACGATTTAATAGTTTAGGAGAAAATAATAAGAGGTCGTAAAATATTTATAATAGGAGGTAATTAGATAAACGTATTCAGATGAAAAAAGCTCGTCAAATCGAATAGTAAAAGTATCAGCACATACGCTTATTTTTTCCATGAAACGTTTTCTTATCAGGTTTTATATTATTACATCTTAGATTACGTTTAAATGCTGTAATAAATTCAGTGTTGTGCAAATAAATTTTGGAGACATTACACTTTATTGCAATAAACCGAGTTCTACTGTACTATGTTTGGACAAGAATAACATTGTTTCTAATGTTTTTTATCAGATTGAATATTTCATCTTACCTATACTGGTACAAATTTTATCCGACAACTCCATATTCCATAACTGTGTAATTGCTAACATCGTAAAAGCCAGCGCTAAGGATCCACAATAACGACACAATGCCCTTCCAAAAATATCTCGCAAATTTGGTGTGATGGAATACGCTGCGATGGTAAGAATTAAGAACGGCACCGATATTAAAAGGCCGCAGGCATAGATTGTAATTCGGGAGTCTGCAGTGATTATTACGCGACCTGAAACAATTTTTTTAGCGTTCGTTATATAAGTTAGTACGTGCAATGACTCTTTTTGGTACGACCGTTCGCGGAGAGACGCGGTCGCGAGGAAAACGCGTCAGCGAGAGGCGTAAATTCTCGCTACGATTTGGTGAATCGCCGCCGCGAAGTAGTCGTTCCTCTGTTTCGGTTAAGATAACAGAGGTGGTTCAATGAATATGACACAGTAGTAAGTTATATTTCACCGTTTATTCCACTAACTTATAACGTAGGTAGTTAGGCTGGTGCGTATGTGCGAGATGAGTGAGTGACTGATCTGCGGGTGTGTATACCCGCTCGAAGGATGCTGACCGTTCGAAGGATGTGAAATCACTGTCTTGGGAGACGATGATGTGTCGGAGGAAAGCTAAGGATGGGTGTGTCTAGCGCACGGGACCATCGGATTTGTTGGTGCCGATGTTAGTTAAGAGAGTGAGGGAATAGCCTTTGTTGTTAATTGGTTAAACGAAGGGTCTTAACTACCCTCGAGAGAAAGTGGTTAGTGGGAGGAAAGTTGCAGCGTACGTGAGAAAAACTAACTTTCCCTTGTCAAGACGTGGTAGACAATGGTCTTTGGAAATACTTCGGAAACAGACGTTTGTTCGGTTTGAAGGACCTTTTCTAGGTAATCTATGAGATTATGGAAGGTACTTGAAACTATGGAGGCTACGCTGCGAGTATCCGAAGACATCCGTTTGCCATATTGCCCGTGAGAAACAAACCTGCCCCCAGGTCACCATCAACAATGCAACAGTTCCTAGCAGGGACACAGTCCGATACCTGGGCATGACCCTGGACAGGAGACTAACGTGGAAGACACACATCTCAGATAAAACGAAGCAACTTAAGGACAAACTAAAAAAACTTTATTGGCTCACGGGCCGACGCTCCAAACTAAACATACAGAATAAAATTACCCTCTACAAGACCGTAATAAAACCTGTCTGGACTTACGGAATCCAACTATGGGGAACAGCTAGTAACTCCAACATCGAAATACTACAAAGATTCCAATCGAAAACGCTAAGAGCCTTAATAGACGCACCCTGGTATGTTACCAACGAAACCATCCATCGCGACCTCAAGATACCAACAGTCAAAGAGGAAATAGCGAAATATAGCGACAGATATAGCAAAAGAGTCAACAAACACCGAAACCCCCTAATCACTGGACTACTCGATACGACGGACCAAATTCGCAGGCTGAAGAGGCACTACCCGCTAGACCTAAACGTTAGATTCATTAATTATCCAAATTAAGCATATGCACTTACTTATAATACTAATAAATTATACCTATCTATAATAAGTATAACTTATTGTAAATAAACAGCCATGTCACTGCGCCACGCCAGAAAAATTACTGAAAATTCTCAACGCGAGAATTGATTGTAATTTCAACAAATAAAATAAAAAAAGAAAAAAAAATATTGCCCGCGGTGTGTGGCCTGGGCTAGGTAGAGTGTTACGCGACGTAACACTTTTAAAAGTATATTTCTGACTGTTTTAAGTTATTTTTAATTTTAATTTTATTTATATAATTCTTTTTAGTTTATAATTAATTTTAAAAGTATTTCTACCTACTTTCAGAAAAACATACAAAAGTGTGAAGTCCTAAATCTGGCACGATTTCTGCACAGTAGTTGATTCCAGGTTGCAGCATTGTCGGATCGTGATTCGGTGCATATACAGAACCGTTCGTTAATAAATAATTGTTATCTCTGTTATCGTTGTTTGGATTTAAAATATACCTAAAAAAATATATATATATATATAATTTGGATAGATATAAAATTATGGATATTTTAGATATTTTAATACTTTTATTCATATAATTGTACTCTTTTCTTTAATTGATATATATGCAAATTTTTTTGCATAAATCGTAAATGATCAATCGTGCGATGATCATGGTGAGATAATTAACATAATGATGCGCTTTGAATTAGAGAGAGAATGGATGAAAAGATCACGTTATGTCAGCAGTAGACTTTTCAATGTTTCTTATAACTTGAAGATTCCTTGGAAGCATAGATTGGATTACAAAGATGACACGTTTTCCTAACGAATTCGAAACTGTGTATAATCTATAAATTGTACACAACTGCATGATTAGAAGTGTTATGAACAGCCTGTGTAAACGTACTTGAGATAATTTGAAAGTCAGTCTGATCGTTTGCATTCGCATTAAAAATGAAAAAAAGCGACACCTGTCCTTGGATACAAAATGTAGAAAACAGTCTGTGATACATAAGAGATAAGATGAAATCGTTTCTTATTGTGTTTATACGGAGGAAAAGACGTACATATATATGATCTTTTTTATTTTATTTTCCTGCTTCGTTAAATTCCTTTATCAGGGATTCAAATAAAAACTTATCTTTCGTTTTTAAAAAAATCCTATTTGAACATGTGTGTTTCGTTTAGGAAAATATCTGTTCCTATGGAATTTTCATGGAAATAAATGTTATACTTAGGAACTTCTTTAAAAAGTGTTCTCATGGAACAGATATTTTAGAGTTTATATAATATATTTATATAATATTTATATGATAAAAGTTCCATGAAAACGAATTATTTTAGAACACGTATTAAAGATAAATAAGATAAATAAAAGTACCAAAATTTTAGGTACTAATCTTATTTAACAATATAATCGCTTTTTATTTTCAAAAACTTTTCTTTCTTTACTCTCATCGAAACTTACGATGCAAGAACTCCTTCAAAAAATGTTTCACGGTCTATGTTTTAAATAGAACCTATTTAAAAGTTTCATAACTCCTTCGATCTCTGCTTTTTATCAATGTTATATCAAAAGTGTCAATAAAATTAAATCGTTATTCCTACTACTTGGAAACTTAAGTATACTCACTTTTTGTATTTGCAAGGATCTCCGATGATCGCAACGAACGAACTTCGAACTTCACCGGGAACTTCGTAACCAAATGCATTAAAACCATAAAAGATGGGAGAGAAATTTTCAGTCACGGAGGAATCCAGATAACAAACCGAGCCCTGAGTACCGTTTTTTACGAGAACTTCACCCAGTGGACAACATTTTCCAACCACAGATAAATTTTTGTACTCTTCGGGTATTATCGTCATGTTTTCCTGTAACATGAGATCAAAGGATATTCTTATGTATATCTAAAAAATGTACTCATTTATCCGAACGATCAAAAATTTTATCTTATCGAATCAAAAGGTTTTGTATTTACGTTTCTTACACATTCTTACTGATACATTCGAATTATATAATTTCGTGTAACAAAGAAGCATGAATTAAAATTAATCAATAACTTTTGTACGATAAAACATTACCAAAGTTGCGATTGATAATCGAACAAGAACGAAGATCTGTGTGAGTTTTAATCGTATTTAATCTGCCTGGGTCTTAAGGAAAATCATGCGGCAAACTTGCCACTGACAACATATGCTAATTATTATTCACGAATTTATATTTTCCTTTATTCTCTTCAATCATATCGCGACTTTACGATAGGATTACAATTTTACGTTTCCAACATTTCAAAGACAGATGGACATAGATAGGGCGAAAAGTCTAAAAATAGCTAAATGAACACACAGCTATCTATATTTATCGTATACACATCTATTTGCTGTGCTCCACAAAAATGGTTTGGCAATGTATAATTAGACCTACTGAAATTTTATGTTTATGCAAATTTCGTATAAATACTGCGAACACCGTTTCAATTCCTATCAAGATATTATTGGCTGTTTTTCATATTCAAGCATCACAAGCATATTCAGCAATTATAGAATACAAAAATTCGACTCTTTATCATTTCAAATTCTTTGATATTGAGGCCTGATTAAATTTGATTTATTTCATTAAATTATTATTACTGTATATATATTAATATTTTTTAAATTATACGATATTTGATTAAACGATTTATCACTGGATTATCATATCTAAATAACATTTTTATTAATGCGCCTATACGTACCAAAGGAATGGGATATATGATCGGTTTGATGGATTGTCGAATCGTTTCGTTGTCCATACTGGCAGTGCAAATCGCCAGTTCAGAAAAAAGAATTTGAAACAAAAAGAAGAACAGCACTGGAGATTTCTTCAAAGTCCCAGGCATGTTGTTTCTTTGGATTCTGTTTATATGTGCTGCGAAAACTGCCATAAAAATTTTTATAACGTTCTTTAAATATATTTGTCTGATACAGATTTCTTGGCTTCCTGCGTTCTTTTTTCTTTTTCTTAATGCACTTGGTTAGAGAAATCTTTTCCAAAATGTAATTTTCTGTCAATCCCGTTAATGAAAATGCCTTCGTAAAACAACGGGAACTTTACCAGCCGTAAAGAAATAACAAAATTTGAACGTTCGACTCATCGATGACATTTTGTCTCTTTCAGATTCAGCTTGGTATCTTCCTTCTAACTTGACTACGTCGTCGACTACGACTTACGCTTCTCGTACGAAGAATATTTTACCAAACGTTCGGGTGTTTCTAAAACTTTTCCGAACGTGTTTGGTGTTCCATATAATTCATTTGGTCAATATGCACCTTTCAGGCTGAATTTCGTTCTCAAGGTTTTCCTTGAAATATCCAAACCGGAAGAATGTTCGATGCTTGTTGGTAGAGATTTGACGTAATAAAGATATACCTTCAGACTTCCGCACTCTATCGGTTTACAGCTTCTGCTTCGCTGATTATTTTCTTGCTATCGATTAAAGACTGAGCAGTGTAGAAGATAATAGCGCTCGCTTCGTTCGAGTATCAACTTCGATAACTCTACTATCTCTTCCAACAGTTAATACATCGAAGGAAAATCTTTCTCCGATCGGTACGTTTCGTTAAAAACGTCTTGTACATACTACGTTCCACGGATTTGGTCAATCAAATTCCAGTCTTTCAAACGAGACCTAGAACATACAATAGGAATTACTTAATCGCTCGGTTTCTCGTAACCGCTGTGTGATCTTCGAAATGCATTTATCTTCACGCAATGACTCGGTGAAACGATTTTTATTCTCAAGGCAACTCGAGCCTGGATTTTCCGCGATTATTTGCCGAGAATAACCGAGAATCCAGTCGACTAAACGATTAACCAAATGATAAAAACTCGACGATCGGTGTTAGAGCTCGTAAAAAATGTTAAACATCATCCTAAGAGGATTTAATAAACCTATGGTCATTCACCTATAATTCTCGTTATTTCGAGGACAAAGCGAGCTGGACCTTTACGGCAATGAGTCGAATATTGTTTCACGTGTTTTCATTCAAGAAACGTCCGATGTATTCATTGACACGGGACCAGGAAGCCCATTAATTTTAGAAGTCTAGTAAGAAACACGAACCGGTATTGGTACATCCGACTAGACGTCTCGGCTGGCACATACCTGTTCCTTGATCTCAACATATACCGCTTAAAATTGATCACCGCGGAATCACCAAGGAATTTATGTAGATGCTATCTTGATATTATATGACTTAAATCACTGTTAAAATTATTATCGTACGTTCGAGTAAAAATTATGTCGCAGTTTTCACAGTTGCCTGAGCAAACTATAATAATTTATTCGATGGCACAACTTCACAAACCAGAAAATATCACCGGCCCGATCACGAAAATTAACGATTTTTCGACTGATTCGTGGCTCGACGATTATAATTGTATGATCGTTCGTGTTGAACGCTGCGGGAAACACCGGATCACGTAACGGAGAATCGAATCCTGTCGAAATTTACGTGGTTACCCATCGATGTCTGGCAGCATACTGGCCGTATTCCTCGAGGCACAAGGCCTTTATTTATCAGTGCACGATTACTCGTACGGATGCATACATCATCGAAGATTCAGTAGACAGATGTAATTATTGCGTATTCGTTGAACTCTGTTCGATAATTTTGTGAGAATAAACAAATTAGGAAATCTTTACGGAATATCTTTTCCTTTAATCGTTCGACCACTATTCTTTTTTCATTCGCTTCGCCCTTTATGTCATTTATATTTCATCGTGCAGGAACGTTCATCAAAAGGAGGAAATTTTTATTTTTCGACAGTATGTAAATGATTTTTATATGTTCTAGTAGAAATAAAATTACTTTGCATTGAAAATGAACTTATATCAGATAGAATATACTTCCGGTAGAATATAATTCCGATAGAATAGATAGTGTGTCAACATTTTTGGAACAGATGGTTGTTGATAGAACTCTTTTACTCTGTACGAGTGAGATAATACAATAGATAAAAAAATGATTGAATTTCATATTACACTTTGCGATATATTTTTGGATTAATGTTAATTTGATCTATTTGATATGAATTTTAGTTGATATTTTTATATACGCCATCGTCATATCATAATATTACCAGCTATTACAATATCTTTTATTATGTTCTTTAATTACGTACAATGTAACGTACAGGAAATTTCAGATGATAATCAGGAAAATAGACTGGAATCGATAAGTTAGCACAGTATCTCTATTACGAAGTTAAAAAGTCCATTTTCTAAAACAAACATCCTGTCCGAATCTCAAAGAGGAAAGTAAACCCACGTACAGATATGAATAAAATTTATATAAATATCGTGCTTTCCACGGATCTTTAGATTCTCGAAAACCTGTAGCCACATAATAAAATTCCACGATAAAAGTAGATTTATATAACGTAGTAAAATTTGATCGAGAATCTGTTCTCGTGCGGTAATACTCGAGTAAACATCGGTCGATAGATCAAAATGACAACATCGAGGCAACATCGAACATTTTCTTTCTTTGTTCATCGTTGGCCGACATTTCGTAGAAAGTAAGAAAGTATGCGGTCGCGCTTTGTAGACTATCCGCGAAATCCAGTGAATTCGCGTTATTCGTCAACCTTCCTGTCTACGTTCATTAAAAATACCTTCGGACGATATCGGAAATGTGACGTAATATCAAGGAAATTTTTCTATTATCGCCGATGAGATGACGTAGGCGTGTGAGTTATAATCGCAAATATAGTAGCTCGTCACGAAGAAACTCCAATTTTGAACTTTGTTACAAATATCATTCTGCGAAATGCAAGTTTTACCGGTGGCTTCTGCGAATTCCTCGTACTTTCGATCAGCCAGTCAACAATGTACGTACTTACGTTATCCTTTCATACACACGATATTTGCAGCTTGCAGAACCGAGGGATGCAGCTATGCAAATTCCATAAGCAGCAACGGACCAAAATACATTTGTCTTCCAACGATTTTGAAGATTTTTGGTATATTTCGAAGCATTTTATTGGTATCGTTCGTAGAGATATTTATTTGAAGTGCGATGTTTTATCTTTATCAGGCGGATGAGCTTGTGTTGAAAGGTGTTCGATTCTTTTTTCTTATGTACTTCGTGAAAGTTCGACATTTCATTTATTTCCTTTATATTTTAATCACTTGTAACATTAATTAAAATTTTAATATGAAAATCTTACGTTGACCAGGTAATACGATCACGGTGTAATTTTCGAAGCTTGCAGTACGGTACAGACATTAATCACCAGCGATATATTTAGAGAGAAACCATGATCGGTTAGAGCTGACTAGAAGTTTAAAAATTCACAAGTTCTTCTTATTGACTTTAATGGAGTTTCTCATTGAACTTTCTATTAGCCAATTGAAATGAGTAGTATTTATTTATACGTATCAAAGGGACTGGCGTAAAAATTGTCTTATAAGAAATATTCTTGTTATCAATTTCAATCGCACACATCATATAAATTTACTGCGTAATATAAATTTACTGTAATTTATAAATATATGAATACCATTACAATGTATATGTGGTATAAGTATATACTATCTTACAGTAGACAAAGTATATAAACAAGGGAAAAAATAAAATGATTTTAGACGATAAAAAATTGCACGTTTTAACTTTATTTTAAGAGAATTTTAAAAAAAGTACGCGAAACAAATTTAATTTTACAAATCGAATCTGCGCGTGTAAGTATATACGTAGAAACACGATGAAAATATAATTGAATAAATAAAACAGAAGGAATGACATATAACGTTAAACACGTATGATCTAAGAACGTGAACATTGAATGATTCTTGACTTTTATAGTTATCGTTCGACCGTCGTAGACGATGAATTGTCGAGCATTGTAATTAAATTCCCAAGTACATGTAATTCGTCGACTTCACGTACATATTTCCCTGAAAGTTATTTCTGACGTCAACGCGAGTGTTAAGGAGAAAGTTGAATATATATCGTTGTAACGTTAAAACGGATTTTACGCGGGGAGTAGTCGCAAAACGTGTAATGTTTTTATGGAATTGTAAATGAGAAAGAAAAAGCATCGACGAAAATCATATTTACGAATTCTGTTGAAAAAAAGATATAAGACGGCAATAAAATTGTAAATGAGTTATACGTTCGATATAAACACGCGCATCAAAAAATACTTGCAAGTCTAAAAGATACTAGTCACGAATTTATCTTTGCCTTTTTATTATCTGCGCGATAATATTGATTCACGGTATAAATAGTGAAAATGTTTTTTATAAAGTTCTGAGAAGTATTGGATATCTATATGTTTGTATGTTTAATCTTGCAAAAGATAGAGCGGCTGAAAATCAAATCTCCGCGCGCCTACGTTCCCGCCAATTCCGTAGCGTTTCGATAATCGACTGGTAGTTGTACCGGTGTTTCAGGAGGTTAAACTTCTATGAAGTCGAATGAAATTCAAATTTAGCGATTGACGCAATGGGCGTTTGTATCAGTGAGCAGTTTACCAGTTTATATTGTTAGGATCAATGGGATCAGACGTCAGAATGGAGTGAGTTGAGTCAGAAAAATCCAATGACGTCTTGGAATGTGTAGGCGTGCTGAACCTGGGAGAGGGTTTTACCAGACCACCTGTAGCGATGACGAAATATTCGCCGAATACAAGATATACGTAAGAATTTCTTATTGTTTTTATATTAATAGTTCTGTATTATAATTAAACGGAATTTTTATGCAAATTCATATTTTTGAAGATATAATTAAAAAAGTAAAATCTCTGTAGAAAATTGCTTTACCTACCAAGTACATATTATAGAAGGTGTTATATTTTGGATATTTATATATTTTTTCAATTTACGTACATTCTGCGCAGTTTTGCATTTTAGAATTTTCTATAAATAAATAAAAATTCGCAATCTAATTATAATACAAATATGATAATTAAGATGTATCGTTTATTTCATTTTTTCAATAGGCTTTGACGATATAATCAGTTGTGAATATTTGTATAATTAAAATTGTTGGATAATAACGACTATGGTTAAAGAGACAAAATAATTTATTTAAATTTTTCGAAAATTAACGAAAGTAACATCATGATTGTCGTATTAACTGTAAAACATAGATCATAACCTGTGAGAAAGACGTAGGAAAAGGTACACAAATTTTTTTGATAATTTTCAAGGTATTTTAATAATACCATTTACGCAGTGGGTGGCATTCGTTGTACCAAGACTATTGTTCGTATCAAAAAAATAAATACGTAGTTGACATTCCAAATAATTATTCTTAAAATGTTCCATATATGCATTGTTCCACAGATACAGAAACAACATTGATAAATTTTATTACCATGTATGTAGGTGTCGCATTATTTCGTATCTGCTTTTCGATAAGTTCATAAATATTTGAATGATATATAAGTTAAATAGTTGGGCCACTCAAAAACCTAACCACTCTATTATTCTTAGTTGAACGATCGAAAGAATTATATTTTTAAACTTTGTTCAAAATGGTAATAGCCGATAACGAATCACTATGCTCTCTAGTAAGAAATATCGTAAATCTCGAACTTCATTCAGCCGATAACACAGATTTCTATCTATGAAACTAGCTTTATTGCAGCAAAAACTACACAAAAGCATTAATCTTAAATCTTTCGTATTTATTTCTTTATGTTTTGTCCAGATTATGTTATCTATCTTTAAACAAGTGATGCTTGTTATAAAGTATAAAGGAATTTATATAATTTCAATATTTTGAAACTTTATAATATTTAAAAATTAATTGCGATATTAGTTACTAGAAAGTAAACATGTCACGTAACATTTATTCATTCATAGAAAAGTTTGATTTATATGTATATAATTATATTTATCATCAGACTAAATTGTTTTCTACATTGAAACAAATTAAATCATTCATGAAATTATTGCATTCTAATTTTTTAACAGAACTCCGTTAAACTTTATACATAAAAAAATCAAGGAAAAGACTTAATCATTGCCGTCCCAAGTTATTCACTGATTAAAATCCACTTCCTTGACATTTCGTTAAATGAACACTCCCTCGGATTACCTGGCCGGAAGCCATTCATGTGATGCAGTTGTTACCAACAGTAATCATGCTCGAGGGTAGACACATTGATTTTTTCTTTTTTTCGAACAAAAATACAGTCTGTTGGCGAACGTTTACAAATATTTTCAGACAAACGATCTATCAGAAAAATGATATTCGTAACAGAGTATTTAAACGTCGATCGAGTATTTTAACGTATATAACAGATCTACATATTCTACTGATCAATCGATTTAGCCATCGTCGAGTAGAAAGGGTCGATTAGGAAATCGACCGAAGGCGCGTTTTTCACGAAACAAAGTTCATCGAGGCCGCATTCTTCCGCTTTATCTGCCGATGTACGGAGTTCCTGCTAAGTCGCGGACAAAATTGTCGCGAGTCTCGCGTGCGTTCACGGTCAGTGACGTCTCCCTTCTATGTATGCTCCCTCGTCTCGTCCTGGACGAAGTCCATCACGTGACCTTGCTGGTATACCTCGTGTTTGCCTTAAGTCACGAACGAATACAAGGAAGAGCATCTTTATTCGGTGATAAAAACAGCCCGTAGTTAACAATATCTATCGTTCTCTGGTTCGACGACTCTGGTACGTCGACCAAGTCGAAATCGTGAATATCAATATACCGAAATTGTAAATCGTCGGGTCATCATTCATCGTGATGCAACACTGTCGAGTCAATAGTGCTTTCATTTGAAAGAATTTCTTTTATGATTACGTCCTTAGACACGCAGACCCCTCTTCGTAACATTGTTTGTCGATGGTTCTTCAACACAATGATACCTGGCATTGTGAAATTCGTTGTGTATCCTGTTTGAAACATAGAAGTATAAAATACACGGAATATCGTCAATTAAGCTTTCATCAAAAATTCAGGAAAAAATGTTATATTCTAACATTTAGTTCGTTGTTGTAGATAGGAAACAATTTATTTTCAGTTTCGTAACTATGTTACTTCTAAATGAAATATTGTCTGAAACGATATAATTACCGCTATCGTATTCATTGTTATTTTAACCTAACTGTAGAATTTCCTACGAACGTCGTTAAAACCACGATGACATTTGAAATTACATTTTACTCCGATTTAAACATATACTCGATTTTATCTGTTCTTTTCTCATATAATCGACGTTCATCGAATCAGGTTGATATTATCAAAGTGTCCCCAACCGTGTTTTATTCGGCATTGCTGAACCGAACTGCTCTGAAATGAAAAAAATCAACAAAGCAAGCATCTCGCCCGCGATGTTGGATTATTTTCAGTAGAATCGTCAGGAATATCATATAAAATAAAAATCATCGAAACAATTGGCGGCAGCGGCGCGAAGGGAGCGTATGAAAGGATCGAAGCTTGCGAATGGAAGGGCGGAAGTGCAAACGGGGCTTAATGCAGCATCAGCATCCGACACGGTGTACTGCGCCGTGAATCTGTCTTTATCCCTCCATTGAGTCGCCTCCCTCCTTTTAATAAAAATATTTCTCTCTCTCTGTTCCACCGCTTCTCACTTGGTGCACGATCCTCTCCCTTCCACTTTGACCTCTCAGGGCCTCTCTATCCCGCGAACGCTTCGGGGATATAGGGTGAGTACGATTTCGGCCCCCTTCGTGGAGCCACTTAACGAGGAGGTGCTCGTTTATCGAAAACTAGTTCCTCGTCGGGGACACGGGTAAATCTCTCGTTCAGAAAATACCAACGCTCTCCTTTTTCTCTTTTTTTTTTTTTCTTTCGTTCTCTTTTCTTTCCTTTCCGTGTATCCATGTTGCACATCAAAAATATCCGAATATTGGACAAGTTGGAATCGTGTGAAATTGACAATAAAATACGTATAAATCCGATATATAGAGAATCGGAAAAAGAGTACGTTCAACGTTCGAATTAGTCACGACCTTGCGCTAATTTGTTACTCGCAATTGGAGATGTTAGGAAAATCGTTGAAACACTTCGTTATCGGATATTGCGGATTTAAAACGACAGAAGAAAGGGTTGTTGATAACGCGCAGCTTAATCGACAGGATTTTTCTCTGTTTTAATGCCGGTAAAATCGTTGATACCATTGTAATCGAAGTTACCTTCGGTACACTCTGTATACCCGTATATACACACAGGTTATCCCATTCTCTTCCTCTGCGTCTGTCCTCGTTCGGCGTACCTTCGGTCTCTTTCCATGGTCGGTGCTCCGGTCGCGAGCTGGCTATCTCGGGGTAAGGGGTAAGAACGTTATAGTGCCGGGTCTATACGTCTTGTCGCCCCGTACTAGATTCGTATCAGCACCGCCTCGCGCACTAATTTACTTTCATTACGATATTAGCTAATTTACGATATTAGCGAACTAACATTATCAAATATCGGACTATATGAAATCTAACTATACGATTTGATTTGTTGTGTTGCGGTAATTTGATAAATTGAAAGGGGCAATACATACAGCAATGGTTGAATATGGATAAGAAAAAATTTATCGGAAATATACTGTGTTTTTCTATCAATTACTATGGAAATGTTCTGAAATGTTTTTATAGTATAAAATTATAAAGATATACGCGTGTGGCCTTCGATGACTCATACGAATAAAGAGATTTAATAATTGCGAACAAAGTTACAAAGCGTTATGAAATTAATCTGGTATAAAAGTTGTCACATTGCTTTTGGCATAAAAGAACCGAGAAGATCGAATCTCGCGTTGAAAACGTGGAAACACACTTTACTTTATAAATAACTTGCGACGCGTTTATTCACTTACACACTTGCAAAGCATAAAATTAAAATGTCTATTTTGGTGCGGAAATTATTTAAAAAATTTTCATGCTAAATTTAACTCGATCAAATGGTCCCGAATTACTAAAATGATTCAATAGACGAACGATATAGCGCATTAACGATACCAAAGAAAAAAAAACAAATTGGAAGAAACTTATTACTGGCTTATATTATTACAGCATTTTTAATTTAATCGTACGGTATGGCATAAAAACATCAGGACGTATCGTACTAAATTTCGTATTTCTCACCAACGACTTTATCCAAATCTACAATTTCAATTAGTTTTCGGTGCACCAAAGTAACTGACATAGACAAAAATAGCCAACATTAGAGTTATAAGATCTATCGCATCGTTCAGAAGTAGCCAAACAAATTATTTCCACCGAATCCTCCGACGATACGTATTTTCAAAGTTCTCCCATAGAAATCATAAGTTTCGACGACTTAAAGCGTAAATGGTAAAAGAGGGCAAAGTAAATAGAAATAATTGTTTTTAAGGAAGCAAACGAAAGAGGAGAAACGAAGGAAATAAGACAAGGGCATCACGGATAGATCCGGTCCTGGCTCGCGATTCCGTGGAGCGGGGGCGGCGGCGACGAAGTGGAAGGCAACGAGGAGGTACCGACAGTAGCTCCCAGACAGTGACTCCGCGCGTAACGACATGTAACCGGTGGATAAATCTTCTGAGTGTTATGTCATCGATGACAATTGTTCGTCAGCCACGATTTCATCGTCGACGATTCGTGCATGGTCAAGGATAAAGGTGTCGTTGCAGGAATGCGTGCAGGAACCCCGTGAAAAAAGCTGAAAGGAAGGGAACGCGCTTGTTGGAAACGGACCTTGAAGTCGCGAAGTCGGGACAGTGGAAAGGATTAAAGAATTTCGAGGAGAGAGATTTAGGGTGCGACAAGGCCGGCGCAACCACCGTGTAAGCAGCGACAGAGAGAAAGAGAGAGAAAGAGAGAGGGAGGGGGAGGGAGGGAGAGAGAGATAGAGAGAATAACGCCGGTGGAAAGAGAGAAGCGAATAGTTGAAGAGAAGCTCGATGGGTCGAACATACTCAGTGCTGCCAGCCGTAAGCTCGACGGAGTCGACGCCGCAAGCTCGATGCAAATCGACGTTGTAGATACCTCGATGAAAATCGACGAGCTCGCTGATCCTCTGCTCTCGCTCGCCCTGCTCTATATCGCGGTTCGATAGCCGGGTGAACGTCGACGACCTCCGGCATCGGTGGATTCGACACCTTCGCGATACCGTCGTGTTTTTAGATAATAGATAATAGTAATCGGCGGTGTAGCCGTGAATCTTCAGTTCGACGTCCGGTGTGGATCAAAACTGGCGGAAAGTTTCCGCTGTCGCGAAACGTACAACAAAAAGAACGGAGGAGAAGCGAATAAAATTAAGCGGTCGAACACTGGCAACGGAAACGTCGAGGAAGACAAGAGCGTGGCCTATGTGTCCGGTGCATCTTGTTCGCGGAAGTGCTAGGTCAACAATGTCAATGCCCTTAAGATCGATCGTTGCTTGCTTGAAATTGTCTTGTTTGTTAATGGACGGTGAGAAATTGACTTCAGGGTGAGTCGAACCTGATCAGGGTGAATCCGAGCCACCCATGATACCGCTTAATCACTTAGTCGATGGAGCTGCATAGTATAAGGTTATCACAGTGTATGCTTAGCGAGCGATCGGGCGATGTAATCGCGAATAAAAAAACTATCCTTTGCGAGCCGACTGATGTAGAAATATCGATGTACAGTGAATATTTTAAGAGTTACTTTTAGATAGCACGTTCTGGTTGATCGGCGGGCCGAGAAGTTACTTAACGCGATTGGAAGAAGAGGAGCGGTTGTCAGAAGAAGTCGTCTCGGTGGACGGGTGGCAGAGTAATAACCGCTCGTTGGATGGAGTGATGAGCGGGGCCCCTGCACGGGGCACAGCGCCCCGTCGACAAAGACGTCATCATCATCATCACCATCACCATCATCAAAAGCATCAGAAGCAGATTCGGCAAGAACGGTCCTCGGACGAACCGGAAGAGAAACGGCCGAAAGTGAATCCGATTTTTCTCTGGGCATCGCAGCGAGAGCAAAGAATCGTCGAGGTAAGATGCGAGGACTACGACAAAAGGAATCGTATCAAGTTGACGAAGACGGCGCAAGGATGGCGTTCGATACCGAGAACGGCGTCCAACATGTACTCGACTGCCTTGGGAGTTACCTCCCAGAAGACGAGCAGCGCAAACTCTTCGAATTCGTCCGACACAAACGAAGAAAAAGACATCAACAATCAGACAGGGCATACAACGCTCAACCTTCGACATATCTGCGCGAACGAGCTAGCCAACGGGCGAACCAACGGTTTCGTCGGCAAGGACGATGTTGGAAAAAAGAGAAGTTACGATGAGGTTAGTAGAAAGAGCAAACATCGACGTGATTACGGATTTCCTCTGGACGAAATGCGGAATAACGCAAAGATCAAAGAAAATTGGGACGAGGAACGACAAAGAGTACCATGTTCCGACGATGACGACGACGAGGAGGACATAGAAGAGGAGGACGAAGAAGAAGAGGAAGAGGAGGAGGACGACGACGACGACGAGGAGGAGGAAGAGGAGGAGGAGGAGGAGGATGAAGACGAGGAGCAAGAGGACGACGACGAAGAAGACGCGAACGAAAACGAGATAAAGGAGGGAAATAAGTTCGAGAAAGATGCGTCGAGCTGCAACGGAAGGAACAATCTCGAAAGGCTGCAGAAAGATAAGCTGTTTCAACCGCGAGTAGTACTGGAACAACTACATTTTTCTCAATTGCCTCAAGGCGTTCATCAGAATGTCCTTCAAAGACGGGGAAAAGACGAGAAGGGGCAGGGCGAGGATGATGTTATCGCCGGTGAAGAGAAGCCAGCAGTGGATAATGAAAAAAGAAAACACGTGAACAAGGCAGGCATTCAGGACATATTGAACATGATCGATGTCACGGCCTCGCCGGTTCTAGCTACCGATACGCCTAGTGCTGATTTGCCCGTCGACTCGACGAAAACGTACGAGGTTCTCAACGAGAATCTTCATAATAAACCCAGTGAGAGTAAAATCAAAGACTTTAGCGCAGCGGTTCTCACGGAATTATCGGGTAAGGTTAAAGAACAATCGAGGAACGAAGCGATTTCCAGCTATCAACAGCTGGAAGATATCGTTAAAACGAACGACAATCTCGCCGGCGATAAAATACAGATCCACGAAGAGAAGATATTCACCAATTACGAAAACGAAGAAGAGAAGAAGCCCGAAACGAAGAACGATGTCATCATCGTTTCTATAAAGAACAACATTTCGGACTCGAAATCGTGCAAGATTGCCGAAGCGGACGGTGGCCTTGGAAATAGACCAAAGTGTAGAACGAATTCTCATTCTAAATGGCAAAGTATGATGTCTGTGGACGACGCGCAATTGGAAGCGGAAGACGAGCGACCCGACGAACCCGGTGAACCAGTGAAAATAGATTATAACGATAGCTCGAAGATTTTGAATGCGCTGAGAAATACACCAGGTCTTTCGGTTTCTATTACCAGGACTCACACTCCGGAAATAACGAAAAATATAGCTATGTCGTTGACGAGACCAGCGTCGAAAGCGTCGTCGTCGTCGTCGAGTCGATCACCCGATTCTCAAGCAGAGTGCGTCGAAAGATTGTTGAAGAACACGGATTCTGCAACGGAAACGCAAGGAACCACGACTTCTCCGAAGAATCTTCCCGGTTTGTCCATTATCATACCCAGTTACCGATATCGAAATTCTCAAATAATCGCGAATCATTCGACTTCTCCGAGTACGAAATCGCGCGTCGAGTCGCCGGAAAGTACCGTGAATTTCCCCAAGAACGAGGTTTATTCGGGCGAGTCGAAGACGGGCGGATTTCCTCACGAGGACGACGACAACGAGAGAGACTTGGAAGAGGAAGAAGATGATTGCGATTCGCAAGTATTGGAAGATCTTAGACGACAGAAAGTCGCCGACTCGCTAGCTTACGAGTCCGATAGGGATTACTTCCACAGGCAAAACATAGGAAACTCGGAAGATCGGAAGACTCCTCTGGAGAATACGAAAAATCAGGCTCATTGGATCAGCTCGAGCAGAAACAGCGAGGCTCAAGCTAAATGCAAGTATCAGGATGTAGAACATTTCGACGAGCAAGTCCTCGAGGAACTTCGGACACGTGGCACCGTTGTCTCGCCGCAACCGAGTGGAATTCCATGTTCCCCGGCTTCCAGGAGACCCTCTTCCGCGTATCTCGAGAGATTGCTACCTAGTCCCCCTTGTTCGGTATCTTGTTCGGAAGACGCGAAGAACGATCTAACTTTGAAAGGTATTTTGTCGTCGCCGAATCAGTTGGAGGTCAGAGATTACGAGAAGCAGAAAGAGATTTCGAATCGCTGCGATCAAATACCCAGCGATCATCTTACTATTCGTGCCGATCCGAAGGACATGGAGAGAAGTAGCGTAAACAGGAAAGGTAACAGAAGTTTTCAGGAACGATTGAACGTTCACACTCAGGAGATAAGGAACTCTGGTAGACCAATGTCCAGCGGTGATATCCATAGTACGTACTTCGTGACGGATCGAGCCACACCCAAGAGACCAATGTCCGCCGAATGGTCAGTTGGTAGGCAAAAGAACCAATCGAGTTCCTATCAAAAATCATCTGCAAAGCATCGAATGCACGCCATGGAGGAAGCTTGCGCCACGTCCAGTAGCACCGACAACCTTTTGGATCCTGCTAGTCAGCTTAGAGAATTGATCGAGACGTCCGGACATTTGATACCGGATCCGCTTCTGGTACCGAGAGACTATTTGCCGGGTCTGGCAGCGGCTCCGGCCACTGAAATTCCGAAACTGTTGGCCTCCAGGCCAGAACTAAGACTGCCAGAAGCGCTAACCAGGCCGGATCTCCTTAGGGATCCAGATTTATTGGTGATATCCTTGGCTCATCTTCAGCACGTCCTCGATCACGGCGAGGGTCCGGTCTGCAGGTCACGACAGTCGCATCCAAGAATCAACAACGGCACTAACAGAGGATCCGGTCACGCGAGCAACGGAACGAAAAACGCGTTGCAAACGAGACCCAAGCTCAGCTGCAAACCAATCGGCACGCTAATGCCGGCACCGATCGATCTCTCCAGTGGTCGAAGAACCACCACTTACCTCCCGTTGCTCAGGGTACGGAGCGGATTACTTAAACAGGAACCGGAAGTCAGCTCCACGGCCAATTCGCCCGAAGAGTCGCAACTTTGGCATCCTCTGTTCGGCAGGTAATTCTTACTCGTTTGATATTTTATCTTATTCAATATGGAAAATACGAGGAGCATGATTTTAACGCGAATATGGATATCTCTATATTAAAGATTAGCCTTACGTTTAGTTATTCAGGGAATACGTGATATTTGCTCGTTCGATCGGAAGAGTTTGTTCGACGCGCGGTGATATATAATTAGCCACGGCATAGAATAAGAAATAATTCAATCAGGTGACGCAAGTGTCCATTTACATAACTTATGTATATGACATTAAAATAGAATAGATAAGGGACTTAATAAGAACGTGTTTCGTGGCAAGAAATTGAAGCGCATCCTATTATCACGAAGTGTCGTTTATTTTATCCAACTCGAACGGGAAAGAACATTCGTACGTTAGAAGCATTAACTCGTACCCCGGAGCAGTGAAACGGCAGCCGTCACTTTTATTTTGCCAAATGCTTTATCCTAAAGTGATATTCTCTGTGATAGTACGCGTCTTTTGACCAATGACTGCATGAAATGTAACCGCATTGGAACATTTTAATCGTGGCAAACGTACGCTCGTAACAGCCGTACAGATGCGGGTAACCATTTCAGTGAGGCAGAATATAGGGACGGTTGTTCATTGTCTTACGCGTTCTCCAATGAATCGCTTTTCAACTAGATCTCTTTTATCCGTCAGATATTATTTCTTCGATAAAGATAATTATCCATGGTTATATTTTATTTATCTTTTGCACGAGGAGAGGGAAATATCGCATGAAACACGTTGGAATGAAACACCGTCTGGTCTCTATGACGTCGACTGTAATTAATGCGAAAGAGAGGCGGACGAAAGGGCGAAAAAGAAAAAAGAAACATCACGAAAAGCATATAAAATTGAGAATCCACGGATTAACCTCTCACTGCAACTTCAATCTGCATTTAGATGTAGAATCAAACTCGCAGACGCGATGTTGCCAGCGAAAAAAAAAAAGAAATTGGAGCCGCCGTTGCTATCGATGCAAACGCATTGTTCGTTAAAGTGAATTTTTACGATTAAAGTACGAGTTAAAGAACGAATAAAAGAACTTTTTTTTAAACAACAATTTGCCATAGAAATAGATCTTTCTAGAGATCGTCGATTATCGACGGAGATTATTCGTATTATTTTCAATTCGTGCGTTAAAAGATCGTCATCTAGATTCAAATTTTATTTCGTCGAATATCTCGTCCGGTACTAACCTGTTTAGATATCGTATTTCATACTTCTTTATCCCGTCTTTACCTATATTTACTGACGTAAGTAACAAGGTTCGACCTAATCATTGCAAATTATTAAATTACACCTATTAAATGTACTTAACATGCATACCACGCGACATCGGAATTCACAATTACCCAACCAGTAGCTAGCTCCGAAAGCACTTTCATTAATAATCGATTTATTGAATATCTTGTATTATATAGAAGTTTTAACACCAACACCGGTCGAGAGAGCGTGTCGTGGTAAATCAATAATTAACCATCAACATCTTGCAGTCTCGGTATTATTCAATTAACGGTAGTAGGTTTTAATGAACTTAGAAGTATACTTTTTTATATTACGTATTACACATCGTAATATGTTATCGCGACTGTTCTATAGCTAGAGAGAATTAATCAATAATCGCATAACTGGTACCGATCAGTTTTTCGCCGTTCGGCGTTGGTAAGTGGACTATATTAATCAACGAAACGGGTCATAAAGGAGCAACTATCGAAGCGTTTAACGTAACAGCATCTTGCCCTTGTCACTTTCACTGTTCCATCCTATAGTTCACTCGGGTCGTTCGATGGCTATTGCCTCGAGAACAATTAAATTTCGATCTATGTACTTAATGGTAATCGTGGTTGAACAATTAAATTTCTATACGTATCGATACGTGGAAAGGTGTACGGTGTGCGGCGTACGACGATACTTTATGCATACAGAACGGGAAAGGAGATGGAGTCAGGGTATTTTGCGAGTCCGCGACGACGGAGGTAACACACTGATACCAAGAACGGATCGGTGATAGTGCGATCATTTGCATTTTAATACCGAGCGAACGATAGCGACTGTATCTCGCAGGCTCCACCTCCGGTCTGTCAGTCCGGTTATAACGAGCCGATCGACGTGCATACATGACCGCCGTTAAATATTTAAACGAGATCGAACGTGGTAAACTGCTGCGCTACCTCCTACGTAGAGAGACGCGAGCATGATCGATGCGCTTCCTCTTGCTACCAATTAACAACATTCGACAAGGTTCCGCGATTTGCTTCCACGCTTCTTGTAAATATCATAAAAATCTCGAGTTTAGATTATGTCTTAACGTTGTCTAAGATGCGATCATATCTCTCTCTCTCTCTTTTTCTCTCTAGTAAATTATGCACGAAGGTATAATCTCTACTTCTGTTAAACTTTCTTTACGTTTCGAAATTGAGGCGGATCTGTCTGATGTTCCAATTTTACTTTTGTAATTGAATCAAGTAGATTTAAGAAAGTTTCTGGTTATTTACAAGGGAGTAAAGCAATGGAATATGAAAAGAAACAAAGTAGAGGAGCGATAAAAAAATAAACGTGTAGTGGCGATAATAAATTCTCCGGCGAATATTATATGAATTCGAAGTTGTATTTGAAATGATTTTCGCTAAACAATTCTGTAGATTCCTTATATTTCAATTTGTTACTGAGGAATATTTATATTTGTCGGGAAGAAAGCGTGGACCGCCTTCGAGTCGTGAAATTCTCACTTTCGAAGAGTTAAATCTATTTTATCGCTGGCAATGAAACATTTATAAACTGTAAAATTTCTTTGTAAGTTGCTTTTATTCGATAGTTGTCACATAACTTTTTCATCCTGACAGGAAGAAATAGTAAGAGACTAAAACTAAAACTAGTTTGATACGCGGTAATTTCATTTATTTATGACGCGTAAATAACATTCACGGCTGTATAAAACCGAGAATGGGATTAATGGCGAAAAATACTTGCCGCGTGGAAATTGGCGTCGCGAAAAATAATTTTTTCTTTTTTCTTATTCGATCCACGTTTTCACAAGCGTGTGAGAGAATTTGCGCGATTTAGGTTAGAATTCCGGAATAATTGGTGAAGGGGAGTCATTCGATCACTTAGATTAGAACATTCGTTCCAAGACGAAGAGTCCGAATTCCTCAACTTTCTAGCATTTAATCTTAGCGAGAATATCGAGACCAATGTGGATCGAACACTCGGCTTGTCATAATTTATTCGTCGTTGAACGTCTGCCATATGAATTTTCACGGAGGACGACTTCGAATGTTTGGAATAGAACGATCAATGATAGAAGGTTATCGCGAAGAAAACGAACGAAAAAAGAAAAAGACGAAATCGTTGGATAGACGCATTGAGAAACGTTTTTCCAGCTGGACAGCGATTTTCTCACGAGGTGGTCGAATTCTGTTGGTCGATCTTGTAACACGTGGCTTCTAATTGGTGTTCGAGACTTCTCTAATTAGGACTGTGTGTTCCACGATCGGCAATTGGCACGGTACGAAAGTGGGTCGTGGCTCCGAGTTTTGTCCTACGCTCCTTGTCTACGTTTTGCGACGAAACTGTTGCGCAAGCAGATATTTCAAATTCATAGTCTTCGGTCCTGCCACGAAGGATTGATAAAGATATCTGTGACGTACCTATTGTGTTTTCCTCGCAGTAAAATAGTATCGAGTTAAACCTTGGGATCTCGAACTATTTCAGTATATTCCTTTCGCTCATAGATCGGTTTCACCGCGATTACTTAAAATTTATGTGTTTCGCTGATCTTACGAAAACGTGTACGTTGGAAAGTATTTGTACGATATACGTAGTAATGCGAATTATTAATCTTTGTGAAAAAATAATCAACTTTAAACGAGAGATTAATATGGTTTCTTCTTAAATACGCTTGGGAAATAATAGAACGCTGCGTGTTTGGTTCTTTATGAAAGCAATCGCGTAGCGGCCAGAACGTTAATGAAAGTTTAACGAAAATAATTTTCCAGCTTCCAAGTTCTTATTTTATTTCTATAGAAACGTCGTTATTCGTATAAGTCATTATCTCTCTCGATTCTTCCCATTGTTTCCGTTACTTCCTATTATAACGTACTCATTAAAATTACCTTCATTGTCGGGATAATAATAGGATTCACGGCTGGCAGAAACTTTTACTTGAGATTCGAATACTACGTAAGAAATAAATAACCAAGGATATTAGTGCGAAATTAGTTATTAACCAAGAAATTAGTGCGGATATTAGTTATTAATTAATCAATTTAAAACGGCAATCTTGTTTCATGCAAAAAGTCGAACGTAGTTATCGTATTAGAATCGAATAGCTCTCTTCAACGTAATCGGTTTATATCGAAGGGAAATTAACATATACGCATAACATATCGGATATACAAATACTGCGCAAATGCGATTTTCACAAATCGCATGCACATCTTTCTTTAAATCGTTGCAATTCACCATCACATGTATAATTAGTTAATCGATTTAATAACCGTGAAGGTTATAATTATAACCGTAATTATCATCAAACCTGAATGCTGTTGGAGCAAGGTTAGGTAACAGGTATTAAACAAACAATTTTCAAATATAAAAACATTATTTAATATTTGTCAATAACGAATAAATCGTGTTTTGCATATCTTTGCATATTGGCATATACTGCCTATTTTTTTGGTAATGTGTAAAAATAAATTTAAATATGTCTCCGTAACATCATCCGATGTTATGCTATAAATATCTTTATCTTTTTCTGCGTCGATTCGTAAGCGAGGTTAGGTTTAAAAAAAAAAAGATCGCAACGCAGCTAATTCGAGTGAAAGCACTTGGCTCGTCAACTTTAATTTATACTTCAATTTTAGCCGAATTTCCCGATCATTCGAACGATCGAACTTAACTCGAACTTTTCCACCTGCCTATACTTCTCCTATTTATTATCGAACGATACGAACAAACCGAATTTCTCGATGACTCGAACGATCAAACT